GTAAAATGTTTTAATGAGATATTTTACATTTTTTTCTTCCCCATGAAATCTTCAAAACCTGCTGTGTATTTAACACTTAGAACTCATCTGCTTTCAGGCTGGTCATGTTTCAAATGCTCAGGAGGACTTGGGGCAGATGTAGAATGTTGCCATTCCCTAGGGAGGGCCCTCTTGCCCATTTGGGTCATTCCCCATTCCCACTGTATGCAGAGAGATTTTCATGACCCGCCTCCATGGTTCAGTTCTGCTTGTCCCAGCATTTCATATAAATGGAACGATACTGTACAGAGGTAGTCTTTTTGGCCTGGCTTCTTTCACTCTGCTTTCGATTTCTGAAATCTGAATTTCATGTTCTTGTCTCTATCCATTTATTCTTTTTTAATGTTAATGATTTTTCTTAATTGACATATAGTGATGGCACATACTTATAGGGTACAATGTGATCATTCAGTATTGGCCTGTCTCATGCTACGCTGCTATTGACAATGTCTAAGAGCTCAGCTTCTTCCATGCTTGTCATCATTGGGCTTTTTAATTTGAACTCTTGGTGAGCGTACACAGTGGCATCACATGTTTCAGCATGCATTTTCCTAGTGACTCAATATATTGCATACTTTTTCACATGGTTGTTGTATCTCTTTTAAGAAGGGCCTGTTCCTAAGCATTACACTCATTTTTGAAAATTGGGCTGGTTGCCTTTTTATTAATGACTTCTTTACATGTCCTAGATCCCAGCCCTTGGTTAAACATGCTTTACAAATATACTTTTCCCAAGCTGTGGTTTGCTTATTGATTTCTTCATGCTCTTTTTTTGGATAGCAGTGGTTTTAAATTTTGTTGCAGTCTCATTTATTAATCTTGTACATGTGTTGCATTTTGTTCCTAAGAAATTTTTACCTACTTCTAGCTTCAAAGCTACTGTAAAATTTTTTAAAATTAAAGTCTCATGGATTTGGATTCTATGACTCATTCTGGATGAATTTTTGTGTTATGGGAAGGGGTCCACTCCTGTCCTTTCTGCGTTCCTGCCTGCCTGCCTCTTTCTGTATGGCTATCCAGTAGTTCTAGGACTATCTGTTGAAGTTTGTTTTCCCTACTGGGTTGCTGTGTTGAAATTCAAATGGATGCCTATATCTGTGTGATTCTGTTTCACTGATGATCTCATGGCTGTTTATTATGAATCACAGTGTTTTAATAGCTATAATTTTGTAGTAAACCTTAAAATAATTCTTTCTAAGAATGTGGCTCCTTTTTGGTAAGATTAGATATTCTAAATCCTTTGTATCTTTATATATATTTCATAATTAGTTTGTCAATTTCTACCAATAAAAACCTACTTGATTGGGATTGTATTGAATCAATAGATCTGCTTGTGGGGAATTAATAACCTGCCAATTCTTTTTTCATCCAGAAACATGTTATAATTTATATATTTTATACTCCTAGAGAAACATTTGCACTGTTTAGCATATATGTTTTGCAAATACTTTGTTAAATATAGTTGTAGATATTTTACAAGTTTTGATACTGTAGTAAATGGAAGTTTAAAAATGTATTTCCCAATTGTTTTTTGCTAACATAAAAGCAAATTGATGTTTATACGGTGATCATAATTGCCATGACCTTGATAGATTATCTCATTAATATGAATAGTTGAAGATGCCTGAGGGTTTTCTATACAAATAATACAATCAATCATACCATTTAAAAATATAGAACATTTTATAGTTTTCTAATCTTTATGCCTTATATTTCTATGTTTTGCTCCGTGGACAGGATATATAATAATAAACTGCTGAATTAAAATTCACAAGTTGGTTTTAAATTTTGTCAAAAACCTTATCTGTATTTATGGAAAAGATTGTATATGCATGTATGTGTATAAATAATGTGTTTACAAATCATTATATTTAAATCATTCGTTAAAAACCCGCATAGACAAAGCACTAACGAACAAATTAGGAAACGGTTGCTTATTCAAGTGAACCTACCCTTTACCTTTAACCCACCACGTGATGCCAAGCAGCTTTTGCACAAGATCATCTTGCTCCTGAGAGAGATGGGCTCAGACACAAGACTTCTGACTTTAAAACTCCTGTTCCTTCAGTGGCCCCACTGTGTCCTCAGACTAGTCAAACAAAGAATTTTTGTGAGAATATTTTTTTTTCCTTTATTTTTAGGGGTTAAAATGCAACATACTCATGCTACACGACAATGAAAACTGAAGAGACAAGAGTCAATATGAACTTTTGAGATGGGAAGAAACATACATTGGCATTTTCCAGCAACATAAGATTTCTCAATTTACACAATTTGAGAAAATAGTTGGAAAGTCCCTGAAAGAAAAGATGTTATTTTTTTTAAATTAGGTATGTGTATATAAAACTGTTGAAATCCTTGAAAGGAATGCTTTAAACCCATGTTATTTTATTTTTTAGTGTGACATATTTATGGAAAACAGTTGAAAAAAAATGTCTGTAGGGAACTCTTTAATCTCATAATATATTGACTATTTAGGCAAGTAATATCTATGTGAAAAAATGAAGAGACATTTTATTTTCATGTTACTTTTCAGCCAAATGAACTATTCTATTCGGACAACAGTTGCAAATGTCTGAAAGAAAAGATGGACATTCCTGCTTCTGAAAACCTGCATTTCCACGTGATTAGAAACACAAGATAATCAGTGAGGGACCATGGATGATCTCAGAGTGTACCACAGGTCACAGTTACAGAGTAGTTTGGTTTTAAACTTTGCCAAAAATATTTTACATCATTAAATGCATATTAATAAATGCACATTGAAAGCTAACTGAAATGACTTAAATAATATGACTAAGACAGTTTGTAACAAAAATTGTTAAAGTCTATTAGTTTTTTCCCCAAGAAAAGCAAGTGAGGTAGTTTATACTGTATATACATCGTAAAGAACTGACATTCCAGTTTGTTCAAAGATCATGTTCCCAAGTGAGCTTTTATAGAATGAAGGAAATAATGAGCCAGATCTAAGAATGAGTGCTCCTAAACATTAACTTCCTGTAATTACTTTCCTGGACGATATTATTTTCCTTACTGTGTACCAAGAACATTTGGGATGGGGTGAGGGTCAGAACGGTATTTACAAGCCAGTCATCTGACTTTCCTTTGATTTTGACTATTCATTTTTACACACTGTTTACTGAACTTTTCTAAAAACAACTTTTGCTAAGGCAAAAGATTTTTCAATACTTAAGATGACAGGCATTTTTTAATTTAAGGATGGTTATAAGTTGGGATAAATCTGAACACATTTAGAATCTTCGTGTGAGACCTAATGTGCTTTTAGTCAAAAGACATGAAAACTTCAAAATAAGACATTAAATTAATAGATCTGTGAATTCTCTATATAAACACAACAGAATTTAACTGTTCTAATGAGAGGAAATACAATGAAAAAGATCAGTTTTCAGGTATATAGATGTGTAGGAAAGCTACTGGAAGTTTCTTCCATGTGTGGGCATAAATTACTTCTATCTGAAGTCTTGGGATTTGGCAATTACCTAAGGTGAAGTTTATTTTTGTTTTGAATTGCAAAAATGATAAAATTATTTTTCCAGACTCTGGAAATTCATTATGTAAACTCACATACCATTAGCCATACATTGAAAACTTGTGAAATGTAGGAATGAATAGAAACCACATATACAGTTTAGTTTCTAATGGTTTTCAGGTAAAGAAAATAAAAATTCTCAAACAAGTCAAATGAATGGATCATTGTTTCTCCTATAAAAGCATAACAAAATTCTACAGGTTAGAAATGCAATTATCTACACGCTGAGTATAAATAATGTTTTGTGTAGATGTCAAGGCATAATGTAGCATATAAAAGATTTCTTCCATACATGCACTTTGAATGTTACCACATTATGTTTTGAGACTTGATAAATAAATAACAAACGTTTTTCTGCATTTGTGATTCAGCTTTGAATCATGAGAGTGTGGCTTGGGCCTTAAATCTTATTTAATCTGATACAAATCCATCAAAACCTCAATCTGAATTCCGAGTCTGTGTCTGGGATAAATGAGAACTCTGTCCCCATTTCAGGCTTATCCCTAGGAGGACCCTATCTGCAATCTCAAGATGAAAGGCAGCACTATCCAATCCCTCAGCACATTTCAGATTTGTTCTAAATTAGAAACACGAGGACTGTGTGTTCTGGCCAATCTCGAGTCTGGAAAATGGCTTTGTAAGATCTTGATAACGGGAGAGTTCTCAGCACACCATCTGATCATCCAATTCTATGGCCCGATGCTAACCCACAGTGCTTAGCCATGTCTATGATTAATAAATAAAAGCAAAGTCTTTTGCAGCTTATAAAACCTGGTTCTAATAGTATTTTTCAGCACTCTTGGATAAAGGCAGGTCTGTGTTTTTAGGTTGTTTGATCAAAAAAGGAAATTGTCGCCTGGCATATGAGAGGCTTTCATTGAGCACCATAACCACGATGAGAAAAGACTCTGTGCCTGCTGACAAAAACAAAGGCTTTTGTTTTATGCTCTTGTAGAGCAGAAGACACTCTTTGTCAAGTTGAGCTTTACAATGGGGATCTGTGCTCATAAGACAATAAACTACAAAATATTTATTTTGGAGCCAGGTGCAGTGGCACACTCCTATAATCTCAGTTATTCAGGAGGCTGAGGCAGGAGGATGGCAAGTTAGAGGCTAGCCTGGGCAACTGAGCAGGACCCTGTCTTAGGAAAAAATTTAAAAAAGGGGGTGGGGGTGTAGCTCAGTTGTAGAGCAAATACCTAACAACATGTGAGGTCCTGAGTTCAAGCCCCAGTACCAGAAATAAAAAAGACAAAAAAAAAAATATCAATTTTCAAAATTCAGTAACAGAGAATTATTCATTTGCACCAGGAAGTTAAGGGTTATCACGTAGCATGGCACAACATATTTAACACTACAGTTTTCTTTAGACCAAAGTTCCTCCTCCCCCAATTCAGAGACAAGTCAGAGCATTGATAAAATGTGTCACTTTATAAACTGATTCTCTTTGGAAAGTAGATCTAGATTATTTTGTAGGGCAGAAAGTAAGGCTATTTCTGGCATTCTCGCTTAAAAGAGGTCAATATATGTATAAACACAAATATAAAAAAGGGTCTTTTTCACTTCTTATGCTTGGTAGCATTGGCTACATCAAGAAGTGTTGCTGATCCCCAGGTACAGGACCAAGTTCATTTCTGCTGCAAAGCTGAATACTAGAAATGATTAGAGTTCTGTATTCTCCATTGACCTTTCTTCTGGAAGCATCACATTTGCTTTCCTTTTATCAAGGAAACGTGATGAAGGTCAGCTTAAGTGGTGAACCAGCTCCTCTTCCATAGTTTAAGCGGACAAAGCTGGAGATACCACTCCTTGAGAAACACAACAGGGTTATGGGAACAAACATGTCAAGGCAATCTTATTTTCCCCCACAAAATGTAGGATCTTCTTGGCATAGAACACAGGATAGCAACCATCTTCAAAGACTTGCTTGGGGCTTAATCACCCATTCTGCGTGAGGATTTACGTGATATACATCCAAAATATATGCATCTGGATCCAAGCAATGCTGTCCTAAAGAGAAAGAGAAATTCAAAGAATGTTTTCAAGAGGGCACCTTCTACCTGTGCACATGCATGCACATTCATATGTGAGTAAGGTTCAAATCAGGCCAATAGTTCTCAGCCCAAAGTGTATATATTTCGAAGTTTCTTAGCATGCTCCCCTCCTCTTCCCTCCCTCCCTCCATTTCTAAGACTGAAATAATTCAAACGAATCTCATATAAATTGTGAAGAAACAGACATACCCTCCAGAGGCACACTTTCTCTAGCTTCAACACATCCATTAGAAAAACAAGTCTAGAACTCCTTTCAGGTATCAGCTGATCATTTATATGCTAATATATATCCTCTAAGGCTTTTACTGACAGTAACTTGAGAAGGGCGGAGAAGATTCAAGGCAAGCTTATTTTAGGAACTGGACATTTTGTTGCTTTGTGGAAGTCATGCCCAAAAGCAAGAGAGGAGTGGAGTGCCGGGCACTATTCTAAGGCTGGGGCAATGCCCTGGATGTTCACAAACACTTGCCCTTGGGTGCTTACGTAGCAGATAAACATGTGAAATAGAAAGTCAATCCAGTGGTGATAAGAATATGTAGAGGAAAACAAAGCAAGGCAGGCACAGGAAGAGGGCGAAAGAGCCAGGAAGACCTCACTAGAAGAGTCATCAGCCTAGACACGGAAGAGGCGAGACGGAGAGGAGGATATCTGAAGTGGGGCATCCTGAGTAAAGCCACACCAAGGACAGAGCGCCAGGCAAAGTGAGGGGGTCAAGGAGACACCTGGTCAGATGGATCAGCCCTCAGGTGTATTTAAAGCCATGGGGTGGGCTGAGAGTACTGTGTGAGAATGCTGAGGATTCTAAGGAAGTCAGAAGCTTAAACTATCCTTAAAACCAAGAGAAAGTGTTTGTAAAAGAGAAAGAGGACTTCAGGCAGTCCAAAAGACAGAAGGGACGACTGGATCTCACGGCCTAAGAGTTCTCTGGTGGCCTTGACAAGAGGGCGATTTTGAAGAAGTACTGGGGAGGTGGGGGGGAGGCTTGACAGGAGTGGTTTCAAGAGAAAACAGAAGAAATAGGAGTGCAGAGGACTGACTGATGGAAGGGGTTCGCTGTACGTGGAACAGAGAAATGGGAGTGGACCCGAGGTGGGTCAAGAGAGAATTCCATAGAGGTGAGAGAAATGACCGACCATTTTCTTATTCCAACAGAAACGATGCCATTGGGAAGGAAAAGTGGAAGATGCAGGATAGAACCGAGGCTGACTGGAACAAGGCCCTGACCAGACAGGACCCCCTCAGGGAAGCCAGAGAGGAGGCACTCAGGCCACAAGTCAGGACACAGACAGGTGTGTGGAGTTCAGAGGACGTGGACAAAGGCACAAGGAGAAGGGATTTTCTTTGGATCCAGTCCTATCAGGGAAATCAGTAAGTGAAAGATCCTGGGCTCTGAGCTAAAATGGGAAAATCGAAGAAAAAGGGTGTCATGCTTCTCTCAGTTCTCAGTGCCCTTTGTTTTGCATGAACCTCAAGAGAGACTAGACCTAAGTCTGTTCCACATCCACACTAAAATAGTCTCACTTAAATTTTAGAATACTGTAGACAGGTCATGCACCTGTTTTGTTTTTTTTTTTTACATATGATTAAAAAAATGAAAACTGATTTTGACTTCTTATCCAAAATAAATAGACATAACATATAAAATATACCTTTATAATAACAATATTTCTTTTAGGATAGTCAGAGAATTTAGAAGCAGAAATTATTAAAGAATGCTTACCTATATTTCCTCCAATTTCATATAATCTTTGGTTCTGAATCTTAATACATTCTGATGAACCATGACTAAAAATAGAGAAAGCAATATAATTTTAACTCTCTTTCTTGATTTGAGGTAATTTGCATATTAGAAACATGAAAACAAACAATTCATTCTGTCTTGATGAAATACACTCCATAAAATCATATGACAGCTAAAGTCATGACAAAAAACAATTTTTTTTTTTCCTGTTTGACACAGATAAAGAACTTGAAGTCCAGATAATTTGGGATGATTCCAAACCAAGATGGCATGCTCAGTGGCCTACACCAGAGAGCCCATTCTAGCCACAATTGTCAGCACGCTATTAGGGAGAGAACGGATGCTGTCACATCAAGGCTGACCAGGGAGCAGCTGCGTGTTTAATAATCATTTGTTGGCCACAATTCAAAAGTCAAGTTTCATTTCTATATTTGCCAAAAATTGAATGACATTCTCTGCTCAGCCCATGTCACATTTCTACATTTTGCAAAGTACGGTTGACTTCTTTGTAAGTCTGCCTATAATAAAAGCAAGTCAGAAAAAACAATTGCCCAATTCAATTTTTCTACTCCAGACTTGAATGCTGGGATAGAATAGCCCAAAAGACCAGTCAGTGCTGGTCTCCATGCACTCCAGGAACCACCTGGGGCATGGTTACTTCTGATTGCCCTCGCCTCTCTGTTGTGAGGAAGGAGAATAAGTGCTCTCTTCTATTTATTTAACTTTATTTGAGATAATTGTACATTTTCATTTAGCTGTGAAAAAATAATAAAGACAGATCCAGTGTACCCTTTGCCCAATTTCTCCCCAAAGTACCATGTTGCAAAACTTGAGGGCAATTCCACAACCAGAATGTTGACCGTGGTTCAGTCAAAGCACAGAACATTTCCATCATCAGGCTTCCCTCCTGTTGCCTTTTTATAGTAACATTCACTTTCCTCTCCCTCTTCTGCCCTATCCCCACCTCACCCCTGACAACCACTATTCTAGTCAGCATTTCTACAAATTCACAATTTCATAAATGTTGTCCAAATGGAAATATACAGCATGAAGCCTTTTTGTATTGTTTTTTTTCCTCCCACTCGGCATAAATCCTGAGATTCACCAAGTTGTTACATTTTCCTTGCTGATCCCTAAGTACCTCCCTCGTGAGCATGTATATCATGACTTGTTTGGTCTTTCACCTCTTGAAAGACATCTGGGTTTTATCCAGTTTTGACTATATCAGTAAATCTGCTGTAAGTATGTGTGTACAGGCTTTTGTACGAACACAAGACTTCATTTCTTTGGGATAAATGTTCAGAGGTATAAATGCTGGATATTCAGCTGAATATTTAGTTTTATAAGAAATTGCCAAACTGTTTTATGGTGTTACTAAACTATTTTACATGCCTGCCAGCGATGTAGGGGTGATCCAGTTTCTATCTTTGTCAGTATTTGATGTTGACATTATGTGTCAACTATCTTCAGAGGTATGTAAGAATATGTCACTGTAGTTGTAATTTGCATTTCCCTAATGGATAATGCTGGGCGTTTTTTCATGTGCATATCACCTGTATGTCTCTATCATGGTTCCAGGTGTACCCAAATGCCCCTGTGTTAGAGGCTCAGTCTCTAGCGTGGTGCTATTGGGAGCTGAAGGAAACTTAAGAGGTAGGGGCTAGTGGGAGGTCCTTAAGTAATCCCTTGAAGAGATTTTGGGACCCAGTTTCTTCCTCTTCTTTTTGATTCCAGACCAACAGATGAATGTTTTTGCTCTGCCATTTGCTACTGATATGTGCTGTCATGGGCCTAAAAGCAATGGGGCCAATCAATCATGGACCAGAACTTCCAAACTATGGGCCAAAAGAAACCTTTTCTTTTTTTTTTTAATATTTTTTTTAAATTTTTTTCTTTTTTTTAATTGTTGGTTGTTCAAAACATTACATAGTTCTTGATATATCATATTTCACACTTTGATTCAAGTGGGTTATGAACTCCCATTTTTACCTCATATACAGAGGAAATTGCATGGAAATGGAAGGAGACGCTCAGGGTTATACAAAATTACATACAAGAGGAAGTGAGGGGAAAGGGAAAAATAATACAAGGGGGAGAAATGAATTACAGTAGAGGGGGTAGAGAGAGAAGAGGGAAGGGAAGGGGAGGGGAGGGGGGATAGTAGAGGATAGGAAAGGCAGCAGAATACAAAAGAAACCTTTTCTTTCTGTATGTTGATTTTTCTCAGGTGTTTGTGACGGCAACAGGAAGCTGACTTCAAAACTGGTTTGGTAAAATGTATGTTCATATTCTTTCTGCCTTTTCAAATTGGATTGTTTGGAGTTTTTACTGTTTTGAGAGTTTTTGTATTCTAGATACTAGTCCTTTGTGGAATATGTAGTTTGCACATATTTTCTCCTAGTCTTTTGCATGTCTTTTCATCCTATTCCTAGGGTCTCTCAGAGGATAAGTTTTCAATTTTGATAAAGTTTAATTTATCAATTTTATTTCTTGTATATCATAGTTTTGGTGTCAAGTCTAAGAACTCTTCACAGTCCTGGGTCACAAAGACTTTCTTCTATGTTATTTATGTGTGTGTGTGAGAGAGTTATGCTGGCGATTTAACCCAGGGCCTTATGCATGCAAGGCAAGAACTCTACCACCTGAGCTATATCCCCAGCCCTCCTATGTAATTTTTTAAAAGTTTTATAATTTTACATCACATATTTAACTGATCCATTTTGAATTAATGTTTGTATGACGGATGAGTTTTAGTTCAAGGGTTTTTTGCTTTGTTTTATTTTTAACTTTTGCCTATGGATGTCTAATTGCACCATTTGTTGACAAGGCAATCCTTTCTCTGTTGAGTTACATTTGTACTAGTTTCTAGAATAGTCAAATTCATAGAGACTTAAAGTAGAAGATTGGCTACCAGTGGCTAGAAGGAGAGTATACCAGTTCAGTGGTATTAAATATATTCATATTGTTGTGCTACAACTACCATCTACAGTAATCATTTCATCTTATAAAACTGAAAATCTATGTCCATTAAACAATAACTTCCCATTGCCCCCTCCCCCTAGCAACTGCGATTCTACTTTCTTTCTCTATGATTTTGAACTCTAACTAGCTCATAAAAGTGAATCATATAGTCTATGTCCTTTTTTATATTTATTTTTTAGTTTTAGGTGGACATAATATCTTTATTTTATTTTTATGTGGTGCTGAGGATTGAACCCACTGCTCCACACATACTAGGTGAGACTCTACCACTGAGCCACAACCCTAGCCCCACTATATGTCTTTTTGTGACTGGCTCATTTCACTTAGCATAAGATCCTTAAGCTTCATTCATATTGTAGTATTTGTCAAAACTTCCTTAAATTTAAGGTTATATAACATATAACAGTAAATAAAGTGCTATTTTCATCATATATCTTAAAGGGTGACTTAAATATGACTAATCACTGTTTATCTTCATTATGTGCCTTAAAGCAGATTTGTAAATTTAGCTCTCATTATAGTCCTGGGCAGGTTCCTGGGGCTATTTTTTTTCTCAGTATATTTTCTCTTTGTTGTTCAAAATAAATATACTTTATTGATATTTTCTTCTGTTTTCTAATTCCATCTTCTGTTACCTCACTCCATTACTGAGCCTATCCAGCAATATTTTTATTTCAGTTATTGCATTTTTTAGTTCTATAATTTCCATTTGGTTCTTTATGTTATAACATCTATTTCTTTGCTCAAATTTTTCTGTTTTTTTCATATGTTCTAAGAGAATTCATAATTGCTTGTTGAAGCGTTTCTTTGTGACAGTTGCTCTAAAACCTTGTCAGATAATTCTAAAAGCTAATTGTTTAATCTTGGCATCTATTGTCTTTTCTCATTCACCTTGTGATTTCCCCTGTAGTAATGGTTTTGTATTGTATTTGGGATATTACATTGTGAAACTCTGATCTCTGTTTTCCAGTAGGCAATCTTCCTGTTGAGGTTTAGCATGGATCTAGGTGGACACATGTATGTATGGCCTCTTGCTGGGTTCCAGTAAAAATGGGACACTGCTTCTTGGCCTCCATTTGGGGTGTAGATGAGCTTCCTGCCAGGCCTTGCTGACATTAGGGCAGGAGTAAATAGATGCTGACATAGACCACTTTGTTGCTGTGGAGGATGGTGAAGCTCAGTTTGTCAAAGGTGTCCAGTGACAAGAGAGGGGGTTGGAAGCAGAGTGTCTGCCACTCCTACTTCTTACCACCTTTTTACCAGATGTTAGATGGAGACTCAACTTCCCACTGGGCCTGGCAGATATCAGTAGGGGCAGGAGAGAACAGGGATGCTTGATTCAACCTGTCTGGTTCCATTCTTTTGATTGGGGGTGGGGGGAAACTCAGCTCCCCACTGGGTACTACTGACACTGAGGAAGGGAATGGAGATAACCTGCCTAGTGCTGCCTCATTGTTGTTCCTCCCTAAGACTCACTGCTGCTACAGGGAGGTGGATGCTCGGCTTACTACAAGACCTTGATGGTGCTGACACTATTCTGAATCAGGAATTAGAATCACTCTCTGGTTCTGTTGAACAGGGGATGGGAGAGCTGTTTCCCTCTTGGTCCCACTGAAACCACAAGTGGCAGTGGTATGACTTTTCTGATGATGTTTGGTTGGAGTAGAGGAGGTATTTCCCAAAAGGTTCTCTGTGGTTAGGCACCCCATTCCAGGTCCTTTGGTTATGGGCACAGGCTCTTCTTGGAGTCCCTTATCAACTGCTTGAGATGAGGTCCAGGCTGCAGGCTTCTGCAGGGCCTGTCTGGCATATGTAGGAGGCAATAAGGAAGCTCTCAGAACTTAAAACCATGTTGTTCCTCTAGGCCTCTTCTTTCCACCTTTCAGAGTCCTTCTCTGATTGCTGTGTTAGTTTAAGAGGGAGGTCCTAGGAGGAACAGCACTCCTTCCCACTTTTGGTGTATAAGCACAAGGAGGAATGAATAGAGAGAAAACAAGCCTCTGGTATAATAGACCAAATGGCATCAGATTGCAGTTTTTAAATGGAGATATCCATAGCTCTAATGGAAGAACAGACAAGACAAGATCTTTTGAAGAAGTTGTTTCAAAAGATTTGAGTCTATTTGTAGTCATTGCTTCTCATTTGTTTTTATTAGAAGCATTTTCTTTCCACAAAAGGTCTACTTGAGAGTACAGAGGCAGTTTTGTAATATATGAAAGAAAGTAGGAACCTATTGGATGCTCAAGTACCTGGAATGCTATTTCAAGTCTTTGTATAACTTCATAGGAGGTAATTCTATGGTATCTTAAGTGCCTGGAACCACAACAGAGAGAAGTAAACATTCAGGACTCTTGTTAGCTTCTGTCTACTCCTCTTCTCCTTTTTAGTATAAGCTTTTACATATATGTGTGAGTCTGTATGTGTATGTGTGCAAGCATGCACATGCATACATAGAGTGCACAAGTCACAAATATGACTTCATGAATTTTCAAAGTGAGCATACCATGAAGCCAACACCCATGTCTAAAAAAAGGATTGGAGGCCTCCCACATTCTTTCTCATGCCTGTGCACTGCCACCATCCTAACTTCTAATATCACAGATGACTTTCACTGGCTAGCTACTCTTGTTTATTCTTTTAACTGAAATTTTTATTGAAATAATTATAGCTTCACATATAGTTGTAAGAAAGGATGGATTCTTTGTACTCTTGCCCAGTTTTCACCAATGCTAACATTCTGCAAAACTACAATAAAGATATTAATGTTGATAAAATACATCTATCTTATTCAGATCTTGCAGCTTGACTTGTGCTCATTTTGTGTGAATTAAGTTAAATACAATGTTATAGAGGTTTGTTGACCTACCACCACCACAGTGGAGTCCAACAGCACAGTTACAATTCCACCAGCATCCTTCATGATGCCCTTTTCCTATCTATGCCCATCTTCCTCCCACTATCATCCCAAGTTAATGGCAGCTATTAATTTATCCTCCATTTGTACAATTTTTCATTTCAAAAATGCTATATAAATGTAATCATACAACATGCACACTTTTAGAATTGGCTCTTTCTGGTCAGCACAGCTACTCCTTTGAAATATAAGTGAAATGCTTTTTAAGGATATCCATGAGTTTTAGTAGAGACCAACAAATGATATATATGCTACTTATCATTCGAAAATCTCAAGGCAAATGTTTATACTTGAGTAAGCATTCCTATACAAAAAGGATTATGATTTATGCTCTTTTATGGTTATTGATGGCAGATACCTAAATCTAAATATCATTCTTAGTCTAAAGATTATTAGTAGTATGTTTGTATGTTTTCAGGAAAGAAACAACTGTGACGCCCATGAAGAAGTCTAAAGTAATGATATTCCTGGAAAACTATCAAGAGATCTACAAAACTAGCTTGCTGTATTTTTTTTCATTCTAATAAAATGTACAATTCAACTGAATAAATGAAGTGACTAAGATAAATAAAGAGTACCTCGCAAGAATCCCATTTGTAGAATTTCCTTTAAAAAACGACTTTTGTATTTGCCTTTTCTCTGCTTTTAACCTTTATAGTCTTCTGGTAAAATTCCCAAAATAACAGTTCTAATTTTTCAAAAGGCAAAGTTTATAGGTGCCTAGAAATTTACTCATCTGATGCAAATCCCTCTTCCTTGTGAAGTGACCTTCCTTCACACTCACTCACCTGTTTTCATATTGAAATTTCGCCAATATGTCTTTGGCTTTAGTTTCACTATTCAGTTGAATGGCCATGGACACTTTAGAGAGAAGAGGAGCATGGACCCTTATGACTCCTTCCGGCACGTCAGACTGTCAACGAAGGAAAATTCAGTACATTGTGTCAAACTAGGATGAAGTATTAGTTCAATGACTGCATTTAAGAAACATTAATTAGAAATCAAGTAATCAGAATTAGAAATTCATGTCAATATGACCAACATTTAACCAGATTAGAGCACTGTTTTCTTTTTAACCAAGAGAATAACTAATGACCAAACTTAGTCTGGGATTTTCCTTTCATTAATTACACACATAGATGTCAAAATCATGAAAAGAGGGTTGGGGCTGTAGCTCAGTGGTAGAGCACCCGCCTCAACTGTGTGAGGCACTGGGTTTGATCCTCAGCACCACATAAAAATAAAGATTATTGTGTCCAACTACAACTAAAAAATATGAAAATAAAAATAAAACATTTTTAAAAATAATGAAAAGAGTAAAACTGACTTTTGTCAAAAAACTAATGTTTCCATCAATGTCTTTATTGAACAACGACCTAAATAAGCCTATTTTAAGTACAATTCAACATTTAAAATACTTTAAGAAGCCAAATTTCTGAAAATAGTAATCAATTCTCAAATACCCTCTTTTCTTAAGTGGCCATGAATGGCCAGCTCAAATAAAATTCTACATGGGCACTTGAAACTAGCCTGCAAAGCATGTTGCTAACCCTGTACAGAACAGAATGTGACTATGTTGAGGAAGAAGGTGTCTTTGCTTTTGAAAGATGTGATTAGCAGACCTTGGGGCTTTCAGCTAAATGGAATATTCAAAGGGTTGTGCTTCTGTTTGATTAACAGAAATTTCTGTCTTGTCAGAGTGGAAAATTCCATTTGCTTCAAAAATTTTGACTTTTATAATAATTATGTCGCTGAAGAGAAATAAATTTCCACTTGCAAATCTATTCCTCTGGTAATTGTTCTAAATTTCTAACTTCTTAAAGGATGGTACTGTTGATAAGAGAAAGTGCATAGGAATTGACTCATTACATACTCTAGAATAACAATATAATAGGCTGAACTATTTCCCTAGAAATCATATTTGAAGTCCCAGCTCCAAGACCCTCAGAATGTGATCTTATTTGGAAATAGGGTTATTGAGGATGTAATTAGTTAAGATGAAATCAAATTGAAGTAGGTGGGCTTTTAATCTAATATGACTTATGTCCTTTTCAAGAGTAGAAGAGATTTGTTCCTGTTAACCTTAGCCACATCAATGTCTATACAATTCACAATAACTAAACTGTGGAAACAAACTAGGTACCCTTCAGTAGATGAATGGATAAAGAAACTGTGTATATAATATTACTCAGCATTAAAAGAGAATAAAATGGCATTTTCAGGTAAATGGATGGAGTTAGAGCTAAGCAAAGTGAGCCAATCCCCCCAAAAACAAAGGCCAAATATTGTCTCTGATTATATATATATGAAGACATGAATGGTGTGACTCTACTTTGTGAACAACTAGAGACATGAAAAGTTGTGCTCTATATGTGTACTATGAATTGAAATGCATTCTGCTGTCATGTACAACATATTAGAATAACTAAATAAATTTAATAGAAAAATTACTAGCTCACATTTTAAGAATTAAAATATTTCATCCAACAGTTACAAGATACTTAATATGTTTAGATAAAAGGATATTTCTATTGCTTAAAGACTCTTGAGTCTAAAAGAATCAAATAAACAGTCTTCAATTTTTAAATTAAAAAAAAGTGGAAGAAAGACGGGCAAATATAGTGAGAATGCTGTGTGGAGATTGAAGCAGAGATTGAAGTGGTGCATCTATGAGCTAAGAAATGCCAAGGACTGTTGGCATCACCAAAAACTAGAAAAGAGGTCTGGAACAGATCTTTCCTCACATCCCTCAGAAGAAACTGGGCTTATTGACATCTTGATTTGGACTTTTAGCCTCTAGAACTATAAGAGCATGAATTTCTATTATTTAAAGCCACCCTGTTTGTGGCACCTTATTATGGCAGACCTGGGAAACTATAACACTGGTTTTAAAAAGGGTCAGATCTTCTAACACTTTCCTAGTATTATCAGCAAGAACTGAGGGAACATGCAAGAAAATGGATGGTGAGGGATGTGGATTTGAAAGGGGGCAGAGTTCCTGGCTCACTGCAGCCAAGACTGTACAATCAAAATACTCCTTGATTATCTCATGTCCTTCCCCTCCCAGCTCTGCAGCCAGAAGCCTCTATAAGATAAATTTCATGCTTTGGTTTTATTGGGCTTATGATCATAACAACCCCACTTCCCTTACAACTTTCAGTGGCATTCATACTTGTATATAGAATGCCTAACCACACACCTCACAATCATCAGTTAGTTGAGTCTCTGTACAACTGCTTTATGTTCCATGCCATAAATGCCAAGTTTGAAGGATAGATCATGATCAAAATTATACAAGAATGTGGTAGATGCAGCCAGATTGTATGTAGGTAGTTAATGGGGGAAAGGAAACTATTTGTTTTCTTACCATTCTTCTAGAAGAGGGTGATTTTTGTAGTACCTTTGAAGTCTTGGGGCTTGTACCCTAAAGAAAACATGGTTAGTCTTCAGGATTCATGTTGGGAAACCAAGCATGAGCTGCTTATTTAATCTGGTACAATCTTTATGGTTTTAAGTATTTATCATTGTATATATTCATATACAATGTATATGAATTTTGACCACACACTTCCCCATCTATAAATTTATACTATAAATTACTTCATTTGTGAACAACGACATAAACAAGTTTATTCACTGTCGCACAAATTGTAATATCAAAAGATTGGATACCATCTAATTAGTTCGATAATCTGGGGATGCTTAAGTAAATTATTGTACACCTATGGAAAAACATTCAAAATAAGCAAAGGATCAGGGTTTGTGGACTCATGGAATGATCACTATGATTTCCTAAGTCAGTAAGGCAAGATGCAGGATGGTGGTTCCTGTTTGTTATCATTCATGTAAAACAAAGGGAAGCAAAGGGAAGAGCATACACAGCTGACCTTTGGTATCTTCAGGGCATTGTTTCCTTGATCTGTGTGGACACCAACATGCATGGATGCTCAAGTCATTCATATAAAATAGTATAGCATTTGCACATAGCCTAGGCACATCCTTCTGTAGGCCTTAAATTATCTCTGGATGGCCTAAGACAACATACATGCTATGTGGACAGTAGTTATATTGCATTTAATATATATATATATATATATATATATATATATATATATATATAGTTGGACAGAATACTTTTATTTTATTTATTTATTTTCATGCAGTGCTGAGGATCAAACTCAGTTCCTTGCACATGCTAGGCGAGCGCTCTACCGCTGAGCCACAACCCCCAATATTGTAAAAATAGATATTGTATTTTTAAGAGAATAATAACAATAAAAAAGTCTACATATTCAGTACTAATGTTATTTTTTTTCCTGAATATTTTAAATCAGATCAGAAGCAGTGGACATTGATATAGAGGGTCAGTTGTATTCATATTTGCTAATCTGTGCATACAGCATATGTGGAAATATACATGATTATATGCTCCTGTGTAGACATATTCTGGTGAAATTATTTGTCTTCAGGAGGGGAAGTCAAGACTGGCTAATTTTTTTCCAGTCTTTTCTAGCTTTTGAATTTGCAATTCAGTAAAGAACTGCCTATTCAACCAAAATTAAGAATTATAAGCACAATACTGCCAGGTGGTAGCACATACTTGTAATCCAGTGGCTTAGGAGACTGAGGCAAGAGGGTCACACATTCAAAGCCAGCCTCAGCAACTTAGCAAGGCCCTGCCTCAAAATAAAATATAAAAGGGCTGTGGATGTGGCTTAGTGGTTAAGTGCCCCTGGGTTCAATCCCTGGCACCAAAAATAAACAATTCTCCTACACAATATATTATAATAGGGCTAAAGAAAGACCATTGCTTCCATGGTATTTATAAACTTTAAGTTCAACCTTGGTGCTACACATAACCAATCCACATATATAATCCAGACATTAAAATAAAATAATGGATATTCATATAGCAATATAAAGTTTACAAAGTGCTTTACATATATAGTATATGACTCAAACATCGTGATAAGTCTGTAAAATAGATATTACTTAACTTCCAATTTATAAGATAAAAAAAATTGAGGCTCAAAGAGTAAATGAAATTTCCCCAAGCTCATATAGGTAGTAACTGGCAACCAGGCCTCTGCTTCAGCTCCACATGTATCATATTTATGCCATTAATATTTTCCTGAGTATAAAGGACAGCACAAGCAACCCTAAAAGGCCACCCCTCCATAAAAAAAAATGGCAAGCACTATCAGTATCAACTTTTTCAGAACTCTGGATGCTAACCTAAAGGTTGCAACCAGGGGGTTGTCTGAATAAGAAAAACAACCGAATCTCAGTAAGAAAGCAAGCTTTGTGGTGTTTCCACTTACACTCTTCCCACCCCGTCTCCCTAGCTCTGCAAACGTTGAAGACATCAGCCTGCATTCCTGGTACAGGTAAGAAGGGAACAAAATGGACCTTATTCACAAAGAATCCTAAAACTTGTTTTGACCTGTCTGGGTGATCCCTGGAAGATTGGCTCAAAAGACTTGCTTTATGTCCTCTAACTTGGAACCTGACCTGTGCTAAGAAGTGTAATATTGAAAACATCTATAGGCAAATGTTGTAGTCTCAGCTGCCTGATGCAGTGGATAAGAGCTGGGAAAAACAGATAACTGAAAATCTTGGGAGTCAAGGCTGGGTACTGAGCTGCATTAGGGAATAAGGGTTTGAAAAACTTTGACATTTCTAAGAACTTAAAGGGCTAAGTACTCAGCCACTACTAAGCCCAGGACTGGAAAAGACCTGAAAAAGGCATAAATTCTAGGCTGATCTCCAGGTACTGTGCAAGCAGGAGGCAGAAGGCTCAGGAAGAGTTAGAAACTGCCTGGTTGAGGAGGGAAAGGGGACCCCAACACTCACACAGCTCATCTGCAAAGACTGTGAGGTTGGTTTGTTTCTAGTCATTGAACAAAGCCCCCATTAAGTCAACAGCTAACCATTAAGCTCATGGAACAGCGATTTTAGTAGCCACACAAAACAGACATTACAAACTTAGTTCAGCAAAAAAGTGACTAAATAGGTATAACAAGCAGTGGCAACCAACTCTGAGTAGGGATCTGGTAGGAGGGTTCTGATTTCTAAAGTTGCCACATCATAATATCAGAATGTTCAGTCTTCAACAAAAAGTTAGTAGACATTCAAACCAGGAAAGAAAATATGTCTTATCCACACAACTACTGAAAAAAGAAGTTTCAACTTTGTGAATATACTAAAAACCAGTGAACTGTAGGCTTTAAATGGTTAAAATGATGAATTTAATATTGTTTGAATTTTTTTATAAATTAAAAGTTTTTTTCCTTCAAATGCAAGTGTTGGTTTTCCTTATATGAAGTCACTTTGCTTACAATCTATAAGGGACCACAGCCCTTCATCACGACTGTGCTGTGGTGAATCAGGTAGCAATACTGCCTCCTGCTTCCTGCCTCCTGCCTCCCTGCTCTTTCTCTGAACAAACATCCCTTCCTTTCTCTCTTTTCAGTGCTACCCATCTTTCCTGATGTAACTTGCACACTACTTCCTCCGTCAAGTCATCCACAATTCCTCAAGCTGATGCACATATCTTTATCCTCTGCACGGTCCTGGGACATTGTCTGCACAACTGGTCTGTCACTCAGGCATATCCTGGGTATTCATGCACTTAGACACATCTGCTTCTCACATTAGGTGCAAGTTCCTTCAAAGATGAAGTGAGTTTCAAGTATCTGGATCCTCCTTAAGGTTGAATGAAATCAATGCTTGATATTCATGGATCACCCCCAAGTTTAACTGAATCAATGAAGATATTTCTTCTAAAACCTGTTTTACATATTACATACCTCTACACAAATAATTTTGCTACAGGAAAAATTCCTGGGAATGCAATAAATTTACCGAAAGCCATTTGATGATTATCTCTCATATTATTCCATCCCTAAAGAGATCTTTTTCCCTACTTATTTGACATACTGGATATGGGATTGCCCTTAAATCCAGTTCACGAGGACGAAAATGTCAACTTGCAGCTTTTTTGAGAGCCATTCTAGCTGTTCCAGTAATTCCTTAACAGAATTTTAAACGTTCTTCATGAGATAGATATCTCAAGAACTTTAGTCAAAATTCAACAAAATGGAAAGGCCACAGTCATAGTCACAAGACCATGTAAAATTGTTGATTCTAAATTATTAAAAAAGTTACTTTGGCCTTCATTTGAGAAGTAAGTCTAGAAGGCGAACAGTGTGCGCTCTCCCTGTTCTCACCTCCCGTTCTATGGTCTTCCTCCGGAGCAGCTTTTTCACACTTGGGAGCTGCTTCTTTAACAACATCGTGGCTTCATTCATCCTCCTTACTTGGGTGATTAAGAAAGATGGAACCTGGAGAAGAAAAATAGCTTGATTAGACGGAAACTACTTGAAATAAACCTCCCTCAGTTATGTTAGCTTCTCCCTGTGCCACTCAGCATCTTGGAAGGAGGAACTGTGGCATTTGATTGTAAAAGGGAATTAAAAAAATAAGGATTTCTGTTTAATAGGGAAAACATGCTAAAGAGGAGCTCTCAAAGAATGTATAGTCATCCCTCAGTACACAAGGCAGACTGGTTCCTGAAACACCCTCAAGATACCAAAATCTGAGGATGCTCAAGTCCCTTCTATAAATGGTCTGGTATTTGCACATGACCTATGTATATACCTTTAATCCATTTTTAGATTACTTATAATACCCAGTACAATGTAAATACTATGTAAAAAGCATACTGTATACTGTATTCTTGAGGGAATAATGGTAAAAAATGATCTGTGCATATTCAGTACTGATGAAAAATATTTTGGAAATATTTCCAAAAATTTTTCAGAATTACATTCTGTGGTTGGCTGAATATGGAGCTACAGAACCTGTGGATATGGAAAGACAGCTTAAGTGGACGGCATAGCAGGCATAGAATCTACGTTCTCATCTTTCCTCCTTCTAACTAAGGGGGTTGCACCTTCACGGAATCCTTACATCATCTCCTGGTGCTGGTGAACTTTGGAGGGGAGCCTGACAGTCATTTCATTGTTACTTACCTTCCATAGAATTTTCTGGTACTTAAGCATTAGGCGAATGATGTGGGCTGCAGTGTTTGCTAACAGTAATTCTTCATAGTCAGAATGTTTGCTTCTGCTGAAGAAAAGGTTTGGTGCCATTACAGTGGAAATGTTCCACAAACTCATTCGGTTTTTTGATTCATTGGCAATCACTTTATTGAAGAATGTCATGAGGGCCTAACAAGAAATAGCATTGTGTCATACTGTTGTAAACTGTCCATGGTTCCAGTGGCTGCGACCACTCATTTCTATACCCACTCACTGTGACACTGGGAAATGTCAGAAGTGTAGAATGCATAAATGTGTCATATTTCCCCTTAATCTGCTTAAAAGTTCTAAGAAGAAAATTTTATTTGATTGTTTCATAAAATAACTACATTTTTAGAGAATTTATTATTTGTGGGGTCTCTATAAATTATAGCTTATATCTTCTTATTTCTTTTGTTTCAAACAATCTGACAAATATTAAAATTAAACATAAAACAGGGAGAGAAAACTCCGCAGCTCAAATAAACATGAAATGTAGTTTATAGTGAAAGAAGTACTTCTTTAAAATAAACCTTTAATTTGAAGCATTACTGTTAAAAATGAGTTACTTCTTCTTTCAGAAATAAAACAAATTTAAACAATATAAATATTTCATTCATCTGCCCAAATGTAAACTCAATTGAAAAAGTTTTTAAATTTTACTATTGGGTGATATTTTTCTATTGCTTTTCATTTCTGAAATCTTCAACTGCCCACAGGAAAATAATGCTTACAAACAATTGTTCTAAGCAGATGAGGAGGAAGGAGGAAGAAGAAATAATTAGAAAAATCTTATAGAGCCACCAAAGTATAGATTCTCACCTTTAGAAATTCATCAATAAGACTGAAATCTCAAAAGGAACTAATATTTGGTTTTGCAATTTCAATTCTACTACAGATATTTGTCATGAGAAAATGCATAGCATATGGTATTAATAATAGCTTATTATTTATGTGAATAGTTTATTATTTATCTGAAGATTTAACATAGGACAGGCATTATTCTTAATGCTTTATACTTATTCACATCTTTCTAAACCCTAAAAGGTTTCTATTTTACAGATGAGGAAACAGAGGTGAAGAAGAGCCCAGTGGCTTTTCCTAGCACCAATGAATTAACTAGCAGAACCAGGATCTGAACCAAGGAAACCAGTTCTTGAGCTAGCATTTATTTTCATGTTTTTATGTTTTTTTTTTTTTTTAAGTTGTCATGCACCTTTATTCATTTATATGTGGTGCGGAGATTGGAACCCAGTGCCTCATACACGCTAGGCAAGCGCTCTACCGCTGAGCTACATACAACCCCAGCCCTATAGTTAACATTCTTGACTGCTATACCATACCAGCTTAGATTTTAGATCCAGGCACAATTAAGAATGGAAACAACAACAACAACAAAAAATGTGTGTGTACGCACATATGCGCACGGGTGCACAAGCATGTGTGGACATGGTGTACATGTTGAGTATGGGCATATATAACATCACCAGTTCCATGAACTTTTTGGGGGATCTTTTGTTAGAAATGTATTGGATTTTTTGACAATTGCTGCATTCTCAGTTATATGAAAGGGTAGATGACATTTTGACTCATATATATATATATATATATATATATATATATATATAAATTTAAAAATCAACTGGGCACAGTGGTTCATGCCTGTAATCCCAGAAACTTGGGAGGCTAAAGCAGGAGAATCACAAGTTGGAAACCAGCCTCAGTAACTTAGTGAGACTCTATCACAAAATAAAAACTAAAAAGGGCTTGGGAACATTGCTCAATGGTAGGGCACCTCTTGGTCCAATCCCAAGTACCACAAAAATAAAATAGAACTAAGTTTAAAAAATTGAGTATTCAATACTTAGTTGATCATTTATTTAAATCTCCTTTTAGAAGCAGGACTGGACAACATACAGAATTTATATATACTTTTGATTTAATTTCAGTCTTTAGGCCCTAAATTTGAATATAAAATTTATGTTAATAAACTAACTTTATAGTCAATGCCAAATATGTTTACTCAACTACTGATTCAATCAAAATAACACAGCTATAAAACTAAAGAATCCATTATGTAGAGTATCCTTTTAAATTTCCACTTTTCTTTTTAGAGTTTGACTAATAACTTATTTGGAAACTGCCTAAAATAATTATGAAATCAGATATTGGGCACCAGATAGACTTTTGATTTCAATAAAATATGATGGTTTAGACAAACACCCAAAACAAGCTAACAAATTTCTCTCTTTTAAAAAATTACTGAATTATTTTAGAGACTGACATTGTTATGGTTCAGTAATCCCATCCTTATGTTGAAGATATAATCAACACATAATTGACATGAGTGTTTTTACTGTGTAGGAGAACGGTCCTCACCACACAGAGTGTCATCTGATAAGAGGTGACACAGTTTTGTTTCAGCATATGTTTACTGGGTTCCAAATTATGGGCTTTTTCAAAGATTCCTGTAAATACCTGTATACTTAAAACAAATCTTCTATTGTATTCAGAATTACTATGGAAATGGCAAGAGAAACTTTTTCTTTTTTTTAATCAACATACAACAAAGCAATGAATTTGAAATAAAGGGAGGGATATCTGAGATAAAGAACTATGAAATATGATTCTATCAAATGTTCTGTTATATGTTAATGAACAAATTGTTTCTTTCAGCTTCATTTTCCTAATCTGCAAAATGACCAGATTTTATCAAGTAATGTCTAAAATTCTAAAATTATTTAATTTGTATTATTTTCACACATTTTAAAACACAAAACATTTTGGAAGTTTCATTTAATCCAATGACTTCACGTTTCCTCCCCAAAATCTACCTATTAATTTTTTTTTTTGCCACTAAAGTGAGCAGCTGAGGAACTAACAATTACAGTCTTGTATTTTACAGGTTATAAAATGATCTCATTTACTTCTGACATTGTTCCATTTAAGCCTTTCATCTTTGTCTCTTCTCCTACTTCTAATACCTAGCCCAGTGCCTGGCATCAGGGTAGACACTCAGTATCCCTTGAATGAATTAAATGAATGGAATTTAAATGTTCAAAGAAGATTCCAGACTTTCTCTTCCTCAGCACAGTGGCAGTGGGGTAGGGGTGTGCAAAGGCAGTTTGCAGCATGCTCAGGTAGGATCTGCAAGTTGTCATCAGTTTTCAATTTTTTCCAGAGGAGTCATTTCCTTTGAGCAATATGACCCCCATGACAAACCCTGAGGTCAACCCAACATACCTGGGCTGTATCCCTGTTGGCATCAGGAAGTGCCATGACCATCAAGTGTAAGGCTTGAAACTGCACTTTGATGTGAGGCCCTCCTAACAAGAAAACAGAAATAATCACACATTTGAAACAACACTAATGTATTCTGACAGCATTTCTTGCTAACATCTGGTGGCACAGGAGGGCTCCTGACAGCTTTCAGTGGTAAGGACTCAGGTTCTGTGCTCAACAATGTAAATTTGTTCACTTGGACAGGAGCCTCTGTCTATCAACCTCTCTTCATGCCACTGTAAAAGCAGGTGGCCAACCAAATACTTAAAATAACCCCAGATTTGTATAGCATCTCTATTTTCAAAGGCCTTGGCCTTACTTTTATACTAAAAGTCTATTTGCTCAATTTGAGAGCAAATACATTTTGCTTCTTCAAAATGAGGTAGCAAGATATAGTTATTATGAACATTTATTCTAGAACTAGATCAAATCCTGTGTCTACTACCAAATCACTGTGTGCGTTTGGGCAGGTTATATAAGACCTTATTGCTTTTCTTTTTATCTACAAAATGGGAATAGTCATCCTACCTACCTCACAGGACTGATGTGAGGACTAAATGAGCTGATAAATGCACAGTGTTTAAGTTAGTGCCTAAATACAATCATGGCTACATGTGCATGCTCTTGTGATCAATGTCACCTGTTCTAGCTTGTACAGGGACATATAGGGATGGTGTCTGTGGTTTGCTCTTTGGAGACTGTTGAGGCATTTTATTCCTTAAAGACACAAGATGGCGCCAGAGGGTTGGCATTTATATAGAGGGAGTCCATCCACACAGGATAATCCACAAGCAGCCGTGCTGAAATTTTAAAGTACACTAGAGAATCCAGACTTTCCTTCATCTTTCTGTATTCTCCTCAAAATGGTCTCTTGGTGAGGAGTTCCTGCAGGAAAGCATTATGTTCTGGAATCCCTCAGGAGTTCTCAAGTTCAAGAGAACTTCAACTTGAGAATATTATATTCAATGGTTGAAAAGCAGGCAGTTTGTTATAAAGTTACTGCTTTCCACAGCAGTGGAAACGCTCACGTGACGAGCCACTAAGCTAGCAGAGGTTGTGAGTACTGGAGGTAGGGATGGACGACAAGTGTATACAATCATGAACAAGGCAGCAGTGAGAGGCATGTTTATAAGGATTAGACCACATGCTCTCAGCACAACCCATATGTGAAGTTTAGATATTTACGTCAAATTCATAAACAAAATATGACCTAAGTTCAGGATGTAACTGAAAACCACCAATGCACATTGACGTGAGCTTGCCTGAATAGGAACCATCAGGAGAATGTCTCTGTACAGAGCATTTAGGCACAGAGAGACATTATTTTAATACATAAACTGCAGATTGCAGACTGTCTCTAATCTTCCAATGTAATACAAAAACACCTCTGGGTGGGGGAAACGAGATGCAGATGTAGGCTTGGGAGCTCTCTATTTCCATCCGTTTCAGAGAAATTATGAAGTTCTCTTTACAATTAAAAGTTTCATGTGGCAAATAATCCACTTTCATTTTACTTAGGAAGCTTGGTCCTAAACTGTTCTGTGGTTAATAGTTTTGCAGTTAATTCGTTTAATGCGTCTTAGTAGAGAACATTCTTTTTCCTGAGGTCATTATTCTCCCAGAAAGTTATTAACACTTCAAGAAAGCATATGAGGCTCAATTGATGAGTTTTTTAATTGTACGGGCAATTTGGGGGCCAAGATTGAAAAGAGAAAGTAATTACACAACTGGGAAAGAATCTGTGCTCTCTGAACTTCAGTATCAAGAGGGTTGCTTAAATACGCACGCGCGTGTGTTCACAATTCTCCCCTTCAGAAAATCTCGTTAAAACGAGAGCTTTCTTCAGGTGGCAAAAAGGCCATTATTTCCTGCTGCTCAGAAGCCAGAACTCTGGGCTTCCTGCAGGGTTAGCTGGTATCAAATCAATCACCTGCAATATAGTATTTTTCACTTTCAAAGTCCTACAAGGAAGTGTGGACTCCTTTGTGAACCTTTTCAGGATATTTTTCAAATTATCCCCTGTCAGTGAAGTGCACTGGCTGCAGTCAGAGAGGAAGCGATGATGGGAAGAGAAATTCATTTATTCATGCGCCTTTCTTAATATGATTCTCAGGATGGCTCTAAAACCTTTGGAGGTCTGAATCCTCCTTGCATAATTCATAATTCCAAATCATATAAACAAGCAAACAAAAACACAACCCTCTGTGGCATGGTTTCTTTTGATGACTTCTTTGGCAGATGAACCACAAAGCAAAGGGAAACTAATAATTTTGCAGTCCATTTTCTAGGACAGCAAACAAAAATAGGAAGTCTTGAAAAAAAAATTTTAAACTTAAAAATAGGAAATTCTGTTTCTGGTTTGGCTGAGTAAGCTCCTTTTATAAAAATCAACCATTCTGAACAATCTTCAGACAAAGTACAAAATCCAACTACCTGAGACAGTGGAAGGGAACAAAAGAGGCCCGCTCAGAAGGGCTGGGCACCTAGAATAGGAGAGGGCACAGGGAGAGTGTTATGTGTTCCAGACTTCTAACTTGAGGCCAGGCCATAGTCAGGGTTGTCTAGGATGGCCAAAAGTTCAATAGGACCTGAATCATAAAATAGGGTTCAAGGCAACCATAGCTCCCAGAAAGTTATGGAGCCATCATAAAAAGAAGGGATCCAGAGATGAAAGACCCTATTTGTAGAATAAACTCCACCCAAATCATTGGCTGACCCAAAAGCCACTCAGGACAGCATAGCAGAGGATTAAATAACAGAACTGAGCCTTGCTGAGCTGCTGTCCAAAAGACACTAGCAACTAGAGTCTAGCCAAGCAAATTACCAGCTTAAAACAGCACAAACAAACAAATACTTTTTGGAGGACTACTGCAGATACCAGTCTCCAAACACAACATTCATGATGTTCAGAAGACAATTTAAACTGACTTGACATACAGAAGTAACAGGGACATGTAATCTATTCTCAAAGGTAAAGACAGAGACCAAACCTGAGATAACCCACACAGCAGAACTAGCAGACAGGTTTTTTTCATGTGTATTTTGTTGTAGTTGTTTTACAGTACTGAGGATCAAATCCAGGGTGCTTTACCACTGAGTGACATCTCCAGCCCTTTTTTATTTTCAGACAGGTTCTCACAAAGAGACTGAAGACTGGCCTTGAACTTGTAGTCCTCCTGCCTCTGCCTCTCCAGTTGCTGGGATTACAGGTATGTGTTACATACCCAGTCAAATAGCGGTTTTGAAGCAGCTATAAAAATTATGACCAATGAAGTGAAGGAAATGATAGGGTATCTTAGCATATGAATAAAAAAATATTTAAAAAGCACCAACTGAAAATTCTAGAATTGAAAAAAAATCCCACAATTATCTGAAATAAAAATGAAAGAATTTCTTAGCAATTTTTTCTTTCTAAAATACTGACTGGATCCTAGTGGGGGAAAAAAAAAGGTACTGGTCACAGGCTACATATGTAAATTAAAGCTTAGAAAAGGGTCACCTTGACTCTAATAGTCTCTTGTTAAAAGACACAAAGGATTATTCTGTGAATCTGGTTCCGTTAAAAATTTTAAAGATAGGAAACTTCTATTTTTTAGGACAAATTTTTTAGATAACTTAGGATCTATGTTATTTTATTTCATTAATATTTTAATGACTTTATAGTTCTAGTAAACCTGCAGAAGGTTGCAGACTATCAGATATAAATATCATGTGTTAAACTCACAGAGCACTTTAAAATTTGAATTTCTGGCTGACATTTTCAAATGAAAATTTTTCCCATTAAAGCCTGAACTTGGCTCTCAGTCCTGCAGGGCAACTATTACCCAGAGCTGAGCAGCGACCAGTGTCTGTAAATGGGAAGTAGTTTGGTCATAGCCCTTTTCTGTTCATGTAGAACTACCATTTACTTAATATGCTCATATAGTCTTAGGCTTGTGACCCCTGACTTCACCATGTCAGTAGGCAAAGCCCCCAATATCTAACCCATTCCACTTTTATAAATTTTTCTGTTTTCATATCCTCTAACAATACTCAACCCTTAAGACCAACCATTCAAAGTATTCCCTGACTGCCAAATACAGCCACACAGTCCAACTTTGTGCATTCTGTCAAGTACCTCATTTAAGATCTAATCTATGAGACTGTGATTTTCAGAAACACTGTATGGTATTATGATTTTCAGAAACAAAATGTTTCACACTTGTTACACATTGCATCGTTAGACCCAGGACTTCAGATTTAAGAAGGGAGGGATCTCATGTTTTTGAAGGGCTATTCTTGATGCTTTCATTCAATCCATACAATAACCCTGACAAGTGATTATTATTTGCAATTTATAGGTGCAGCGATTGAAGCTCATAAAGTTTGCATGGCTAAAAGATGGTTACACAGGAATTCAAAGCTGAAGAGTCCCATCTTCCTATGAACCCCTCTGCCCTTTAAACTATCACAGAGCCCTCAAAATCATACATACCAGACTTAAACACATTAGTATGTAAATGGATAATTGTTTACAATCAAACTTAATATTTCAACCAAGCATCATCAGGAAACAGCAAATCTACACATGTGGTCACATGTCATTAGGCACCTCTCTTCGGCTCTATCACTTTATTGACCTCATATCTTAGTCCATTCACATTTAACATCTTCTACCTACTTTCCATTAAGGTGATGAAGGCAGGTATATATTCCACAGGGAAGAGAGAGGTGGGTAGTTCTCTGAAAAATGCTTTCAACATTACTGCAGCTTCTCTATGGCACATTTTGTCCCACTTAAATTTATCAGTATTAAACTTGGCATCCAGTTCTTCACGGTATTGCTGCAAATCAAAGAAGATAGCAATGAAATTTAGTGTGTTTTTACCATCTTTCATCCCCTTTGAAAACTATCATTAATTAAATTAGTTTTGTACATAGAGTGATAAAGCACTATATACTACGCCTTTTTTTCAACATGATTAATAGATCTGAAGTGACTGATTATGAATAAAATTTTAAAAATGTATTTGAGAATATTTAAAAAATAATGTTAATCTTGAACTAGACAAATATAAAAATTTTTTAGTTAGATCATAGTTTCCTTTCTGTGGTTTTGGCAGGAAACCACTATTCCCACATAATAAATGCACTGCTAGATTTTGACAAAGTCCCTATTCCCTTCTTTTCTTAATCCCTTCTGCCATCATCACTTGTATTTCTAAAGTAGATCAGGAATGTGCACCTCTCAGCTAGTCCACATACAGAAGGAGAAATGTCCCAATAAAGTAACTCTGACCTCACTACACCATGCTGGCCAATGACATCTTCCTGGAGCAGTTACAGCAAAGTTTTATGCCAAGACACACACATGTCCTCCACATGTCTGCATGCCTGCCAAATCCTTCATAAGGTTTGGAGCACTGTGCAAATACTTCAAAAAACAAACAAAAAAGCACTAAGCCCTCAAAGGTTCTACTTGCCTTACAAGTTTTACATTATCAACTCATCTGATTATCAGTGCCACCAGTTCTCCATGTTTCTTTTCTAAAGTCAAACTCATATTCTCCTGCTCCTTTGAACTACAAGGTTTACCTACTGTAACAGGCAATTAGTCTCCTGACTGACACTAACTTCTCCGAAAGGAATACTTTGAAAGGAACACTGAAAACCCATAGAAGCCTAATTCTTCCAGCTTTGAACACACTCAGCCAAAGTCAGTTCACACATCTCACCTTTTCCTATCAAGAGCAGCTCATTAATATGCCAGGTACAGATGCTCTCATGGCTCCCAGAGTCTGTAAAATGGAGATCCTTCACATAACAAGTTACTTACAGAGATACATGGGATTGAGATCCACCCTCCAGTCCCTGCAAATTAGTCAAAGGAGATTTCTTATCCTGAAATCTAATAGGAATACTACAGCTAACCAAGTGGTCCTTTGCTGAAAAATACACTTATTCCAGTTGTCCTGGAATAAAGGATATCATGCAGCAGACTGGTTCTGGAAAAGAAAGATACAAGAAATCCACTCTTTGTCTTTAGGTGTCTTGTAGTCCAGTGGAGGGGACCATTTCATGAACTGATAGTACTAATTCAGAATGTAAATGCTTTCAGAAAGGTAACATATTGGCACCGTAACAGCCATCAGAGAAAGTAAACCAAACTGCTAGGGCCAAATCTTGAGAAACCTGATAGCAGAACAGGACACCGAAGGACATGCTGGGTAGAAAGAATAGCTCAAGCGGTGACAGGTACTCATAGAGATCCAGTGTGCATGGAGAGTTGCAGATAGGTTAGTGTTGCTGGAGTAAGGAATGAACCTGGGAAGCAGCCATGGCCACTCGGAAGGGGACAGGACTGCTTCCTGCAGTCAGTGAGGCAACTTGGGACATCTCTAAGCTGGAGAATATCAAGGTGCAATTCATTGTTGATGACATCCAGACTGAAAAAATTATTTGAGGAATAAGGGGTTTGGTACAGGTTAGGAGTAGGCAAAAGAAGTAAAGAGTCCAGTTATGAGGCCATACACCAAAGGACAATTACCAAGCACTTGTAATTAGAAAGGATAGAGGCTATTAAAGAAATGCCTAGGAGGGGAAATGTAGGCAGGTGCAATCAATAAATGGGCCAAGGAACTGAACAGACACTTCTCAGAAGAGATACAATTAGTCAACAAATATATGAAAAAATGTTCAACATCTCTATCAATTAGAGAAATGCAAATCAAAACTACTCTAAGATTTCATGTTACTTCAGTTAGAATGGCAATTATCAAGAAGACAAGCAACAATAATTGTTGGCAAGGATGTGGGGAAAAACGTACACCCATACCTTCCTGGGGGGACTGTAAATTGGTGCAACCATTCTGAAAAGCAGTATGGAGATTCCTTAGCAAACATGGAATGGAACCACCATTTGACCCAGATATACCTCTCCTTGGTTTATACCCAAAGGACTTAAAATAAGCATACTACACTGACAAAGCCAAATCAATGTTTATAGCAACTCAATTCACAATAACTAAACTATGGAACCAACCTAAATGCCCTTCAACAGATGAACCAGTAAAGAAAATATGGTATATATACACAATGGAATATTACTCAGCCTTAAAGAAGAATGAAAGTATGACATTTGCAGGTAAATGGATGGAGCTGGAGAATATCATGCTACGCGAAATAAGCCAAACCTAGAAAATCAAATGATGAATGTTTTGTTTGATAAGGGGATGTTGGATGCTGATTCTTAATGGGTGAGGGGTTGCTAAAGAAGAATGGAGAAACTCTAGATTGAGCAGAGGGGAGGGGAGGGAGTGGGGGGATGGGAAGGATTGTGGAATGAGATGGACATTATTACCCTATATAAATGTATGACTGACTGCATGACTGGTGTGACTCTGCACTTTGAACAACCAGAGGAATGAGAATTGCTCTATCTGTGTACAATGCATTCTGCTGTCATGAATTAGAAGAAATTTTTAAAAAGAACAAAGTAGGAGGTAGTTTTAAAAAAAACAAGATAAGAAGCATTGGCAAAGACGTGAAAAGAAAGGAAACCCTCCTGCACTGTTGGTGGGAATGCAAACTAGTACAGCTGTTATGGAAAACAGTGTGGAGCTTCCTTGAAAATTTTAAAAATACACTATCATATGATCCAGCCATCCCACTATGGGTATGTGTCCAAAGGAAAGGAAATAAGTTTTTCAAAGAGGCAGTGGCAAGCCATTCATTGCAGCACTATACCCAACAGCCAAGAAAGGGAAACTAACTAAAGTGTCCACTGACTGATGAACGGATAAAGAAAATGCAGTTCAGACCCACCGTGGAATACGATTCAACCATAAAAAGAATGGTTGCTCCCTCCTCTTAGGTCTATTCCAGTCTTCAGGGTCAGTCCTACAGGAACCTATGAATGTAAAGCGTGATTGGGCAACGGTACCACATGATCTTGTCTAGATGGCTAGTGTAAAATAATACCAAGAGAAAGATCGTCCTCTTCCGATTTTGACCAGAGCAGACTAGAGGGTATATGATATTTCCACGGTAGTCCTAAGTATGAAACCACATAAACCAGATGTGAATTTACTTGGCCTCAAACAGGGAGCACCTAGAGGGTGTAGAAGTCAATTTTCCTGTCAACTGTTAATGAGACCAGAGACAAGGGTTGGAATTCAGGTTCTTAAATCTCCTTGGAGCAGAAATACAACCTGCTAAAATTTAGTTTTCATACAAATGCCAATGACTAGCCTGCAGCCACCAGCTCAAGAAGAGAAACTAACAGGCCAGGTAATGTAACTATAGAGCATTTAGTGCTGCCAGGGAATAATAGAAATGAGTCAAAAAAAAAAAAAAAAAAGAGAACCTCACATGTCAAACTGTCTGCCTTCTTCCATAAAAAAAATATACTCCCCAGTGTTTGGCTCAGATTTTTGCCATGTTTTTAAAAGAAAATCACTGAACTCACCAAAGTAATAAATTGGATCCAAATGACCTGCAGCCTCCAACAGGGAAACTAGCCTTGCATTTTTGTCTCTGGCTAAAGTCTTGCAACTTCTCAAGGCTGCCTCCCTGACAATCTTATCAAGTGTTTAAAACACAAAGCCAGGCTGGGTGTTCAACAGTGTAGCCTCAAATAGTTGCTGTCTTTTACTGGCACAAGGTGAGGCTCATTACAGTAGAATTTAAAAAAAAAAAAAAGATCTTTCCTAGAAAATGTAGTACAGTGGCTGAAGAAGGAAGGAAGGAAGAAAGGAGAGAAGGAAGAAAGAAAGGGAAGAAAGAGGTAGTTTGAGGTTTGAATTAAGGAGAAAGAATAAAAGCCTCTGTAGTACGTCAAGTTTCAATGCCTTTCTAACTGCAGTACTTTCCTATTTTTGCTCACTGGCCCAGATTCCTTTTGCATTGGTTTCTTGGAGCCTGAACCATGAAAACATCTGGATTACATTTTTCGGACTAACAAGCAGTAGAATAAATAGGCTGACACTACATAAAACCGATTAGGGTAGAAAAGGGACTTTGACCTAAATGTGGTTCAGGAATGCATGTGCCTGTAAGAACACTTTGAAGGAAAGATTAGCCTTTGATAAACATTTTTCGGTCAAAGACTAGCTCAAGAAAAATATCTTTTGCTATAAGGTAAACTTGGTGCACATAAGAGATATCCTATATTTTCTTCCATTGGTTATTGAGGAAAAAGAAAACTAGATCTTATCCATTGTGCTTCTTACAAACTCACCTGTGTCTGCGTGTGCGCGCACACACACACACACACACACACACACAGCAGCCAGAATATATGCAAACGTAGCTTTCCAATGGGAGTCTGATTTTGTTCAGGAAATTCATTTTGTTGATTTTATCTCAGGTCTCTAACTCTGCTAGTAACCACAGAGTTAACCAAAACTAGTAACGGTTTCCACCTTCAGATACAGGATACATTTATTCAGAAATGAATCTAAGAATCAGTCATTTGAGAAACGGAGGCAAAAAGTAGATGGAACTTGGAAGGCATAACCCTAGGGAGCCATTAGAAACTCACCTGCCTTCCAGGTGAAGCTATATTTAGCCAACTCTGCTAAAAGGGAAGTCAAAACTCCCAATATACTTTAATCTCTGACATCACTGTCAATGGCCTGGTACTGGGCTCAGATCTCCCTTCAAAAGAGAATTGGCCACATGCATCTGCAAAACATTCAGGCAGCTGACTCTCCAGGCTGTTGGCCCCTTCTCTGCAGGAAGCCCAGTCCATGGCAGGGCAGGGCACCTAACAGGAGGAACTGCCAGGCCTGCACTGTGGCCTGAGGCTCACCCTGCCCAATCCTGCTTCCTGCCCTCTATAAAGGATAACCTTCAGAAGCACTATCCCTTAGTACAACTCTCTTCCACTGCTAATCTCTCTTAGCATCTGCTCTCTAGAGGATCAAAAAGACATGCTATTACTCTGTTTCCACTTAAAAAAAATCTTGTAACACTTCTTTATAAAAAGTCCTGAGACTTCTGGATACAAAACAGAATTTCCCCAAAAAGGTACCAAAATGAATTAATGAAGACACACCTTTCTGTTTCTATGCATTTCCTTGGAATATTCTAGCCACAACTAAATTCATTTTTGCCTTCACCTGAGACTTTTTTCTCAGAGGTTCATTATTTAATATCCACAAACCAGGGCTGATCCCAGCACAAGGATGAATACTTCATCATGTGTGACCATCAGAAGATGCAGTGGGATACTTTACTGGAAATTAATGAGAAAAGCTTTTCTTTTCAATGATTCTTCCCTTTACTCTTTTGTAGAGTTCGCACTTTTATAGAAGTAAGAAGGCAAGGTAAAAGGATGCACGTGGCTTGAGGGGTGTTGTGCGTGGACACTGACATTACCATAAGTGGAACTGCAGTGGTTATGACCATGGCTACAAATTCTCATAAGAAATTCAACTAAAAGGAAAACCAGTGAATGTCTCTAAGCTTAAAGTAACTGAAAATGTAAAGAAGGGCTGGCTCCCATGCTGTTGGCTTAGTGACTTTCATGACACAAAGAAACCCAGCAAGCTGACGTGGCTAACTCAGAACAGGGGTGAGCATTTTGACTTTTCAAACTGAAAATAGGCAGTGGTTTTTGATGTATTGTTTTGTTGTTACAGTTTATTATTATTAATGTTGTTTAATTTAAAAGGATCATGAAACAAACACATAATCATAGGTACCAAGGAATATTAGGAAGAGCCAAATGATCATATCAAGTAAATAACGACATCAACAAAGACTAAATTCCCAAAGCTCCTTTGGGCTGGATCTAACTAGCTTTGATTTCTAACAAGGAATAGAAAATGTCAGGTACCTTGACTTTGGCAGTACATCCTGAAAGTCGAAAAATTCCTTCAGATTCCAGACCTGATTCCTCGACTTTCTCAAAAAACTAGAAAGCAATGATATATTACAAAAATAAGCACCTCTATAGGATTATAAACATCTGAAATAGTGATGATAGCAATAATCAACATATTGAGCACGTACATGCAACTGGTACTTGACTACTGTGTTAACTATTCTTGACCACTCTAAAAGGTCAAAATAATCCTCCAATTAGCAAATGAGCAAATGGTGATTTTGAGTCCTTACATAACTTTCCCAAGATCAAGCTCCAAGAGATGGCACTGGCTCTCCCAAGCTTTTGTTTCTTAACCAGTATAATATGTTGTCACTTAACCATTTTAAGATTGAACTTCTACTATATCTCCTTCTGAAGACTGATCAGTAAGAAAAGATTCTAAATCTTTGTAACCACCCTGGCTAAGACCCTATGGGACCTGCAGATATCTGACCAAGAAGTAAGGGATTTCAAAGGTTAATCACTCTCATGAGTTCTCTCAGTGGTGATGGTTGCTTTAAAAAAAAAAAAAAGTTATAGGATCACTACTTATTGTGTATTGCAGCTCAGATACTAATTTCAGCATTTTACATATATTACTTCATTTAATCCTGGCAATAATTATATAAGGTAGACACTATTATTTTCTTCATTTTACTACTGAGAAAACAGAGGAACAGAAAAGTGAAACTTCACATAGTGAAACGAGAATCCAGTTTCTTTATCTCCTTTAAAGAAAGGATGGCACTTGGAACTAAAGTAGTTCTTTTAAGTACAAAGAGAAACAGATATTCAGGAGAAAAAAACCTGAGGAAGAAACGACTCTCCTATAGAAGTGAAAGAAGGCAACCTCAAATTGTTTTAAATGAGAAATGTTTAACATTAACAGTAATAACATTTATTGAGTGACTAATGTGATAAAATCCAGACTGCCTTTAACTAGCACTTCTTGAGTGCCTTTTGTTTGCTACCATTTGCTAAGTTCTGTGCTAGGTTTTTGTGCTTACATAACAACATAAATGTATGTGTTGAATCTTCTGTCTCAGATTACCATGAATTTTTTCTTTGAACTCTTTACTTTACATAGAGGAAAAAGGGCATCATATGGTTTTCATTCAAAGCAGAGAAGAAAATCCTAAGAGTCACCATGAACTTTGGGCCTGAATCCACACTGTGTTCCTTTTCCACACTGCTCTTGCTGGCTGTGTGATCGTGGGTAAGTTATTTCACCTTCCTATGCCTCAGTGGCCTCAACTGCAAAAAGGAGATTAACAACACTGATCTCCTTGGGCTGCTCTGGGCTGACTCAAAGGACATTATGTGGATAACACTGGTGCAGCCCTGCTGGGGAGAGGTGCTCACAGGTGGGCCCTATGCACAGAGGTGTCACCAGTATACTCTGGCTATCTGACTGCCATCCTTCCTATTCCCAATCTCAAATCAGTCCCCAGATTTAAGAGAGAAGCTCAATTTGTGGCATTGGTAGCAAAATATAGGAAGACAGAAGAGGATGAAGAATTGTTAGTGTGAGTAAAGTAACTATGATTCTTCAGTTTTTTTTTATATATATATCATTCAAAAACATTTTAAAATTCAACAAGGTTTGTGTTGAGGGCTTGGAATTTTAATTGTGCCACTGGATGTCACTGTTGAATAAATGCATACTTAGGTAAACCAGTGTGAATTGCTCCCTATGAGACAAGAACATAACTTAAAAGTAAATCAGCTATTTAGCAAGGGTAGTTACAGAGATACTTGCATAATAATTTAGAGATCACTTAAAAATCTTCTTCTACCGAAATTCTTCTCTTTGTCTAAAAGTATCCTATCTGCCCAGTTATACCTGGAAAACCACTAGAACAAGATGATTTTTAAAGTCTATTAAACTTTGTTTAAAAAATTTATAAAATGATCACACACAGTAATTCATAAAAATCTAGTCTATGATATATCTTAGCAAATATTCCATAAATATACTACAAATAGTATTTAATGGCCAGTTTTATCTGACATAATGAATATACACACACATACATATGGACAATTTACATTTGAAAAAATATTGGAAAAAATAAAACTGTGTCCATCTTCTGATGTTCTGTGGTCAGACAGTGTCTAACAGGCAAGGCTGCTAGTGGTGGATGTGGTTTGTTCCCCAAGGGTTCAGTACTAGAAGCATGGTCCTTAGTGTGGTGGTCTTGAGGTGGAGGAAACTGTAAGAGGCGGAGCCTAGTAGGAGGTCACGACTGCCCCTCCCTCTCCCTGGCTTCGCTCTGACAATGTGAGCTCTCCCTGTCACACACGCTGCTACCAGTGTGTTACCACCCTCCACCAGGTCAGGCAGCTCCGGGGAACTTCCTTAGAGCTGGTCTTTCAGCCTCCAAAACAGTGAACTAAATCAACTTCTTTTCTTATAAGTACCCAGCTTCAGATATTTTGTTACAGTAATGGAAAGCAAATAACAGGAAGACCAACTGTTCTCAATGCTTATAGGCCATTATGAGGCTACCTGGAACAAGGTCAAAAATTGCCAAAGGTCTCATTCCTAATAGGGTTCAGTGTCTTTCAACCTAAAGGAAAATTCATTAGTGGGTTTACAAAGTCCTCAACCACAAGCACAAGGCTCTATTCCCTCCTCATTCATTCACTTGTGTTCTACTCACTTTTTGTAATACAAGGGGAACTTTCACTTCAGGGTCTTTCTTTCTGTCATTGTCCAGGAGGACTGTAAGTGGGACTCCAAAAATCCCATTGTCTTCAATGTCACACAGTCATGAGAGAAAGAAAAAATAAAAAAATAAAATAAAATCAGAAAAGCACTGTCTTATTCTAGCATGTCAGTATTAAAAACCAAAGCCATCCGTCCCCTTAGTTACCTCGTCCTTTTACTTTCTCTGTTTTGTTTCTTTTCAGTTGAATTCCAAATGCATCAAAAAAGGCAGTCAATTCAATCAGAGAGAGATGGCGAATTTTCTTCATGTCCTCAGCAGACAGGTCTCCTGCTTCAGTTAAGCCAAGCCTGGTTTTCTGAACAGTGAGTTTCTGAAATAACACAGTGAAGATATTTATTTTTAATGGCAAAGGAAAATTATACTTTCACTCAGATACCAACCAGACACTCTAAACCTATAGAAGAAAACATGCAAAAAGCTCTGAAGAGCATACTGCATCATAAAAATATTATGAGTATGTTTTGAAAACATTTGCAGATCACTGTTATGCTAACTAGAAGCAAAACAGCAGTCTGAAGTCCATGATAACAGTGCTATCGTAACTGTGGAAATGGCTTTTTAAAGGCAACATGCTGTATTGTCAAGCAACACACATGTCAAACATCACATGGAATGTACCCACTGTGGGTCTTTAATCTGGATTACATGTGCCAAAAACAAGCAAAGAACACAACTAAGTGTAGCACAGGAGAGATGTGGATTTTTTTTTTTTTGACAATAAATCTTGATTCAGGATTCGTGTATGCTATACTGCATACTTAAAAAAAATTTATAGTCTCCTAATCAAGTTTTGCTTAAAAACCATATTTAGATGATTCCAAATACTTAAAAAAGAAAAAATTCACAGAAAATACAACTAATCTTACTATGTCTTACTTTTGAAGACAATGATACTCTTATATTATTCATTTCCACACTAAGGAAGGAAATACACTAAATTAATAGCCACAAATCTTAATAACCTAGAAATGTTGTGAAGACTCTAAGGAGCAAGCAAAACATCATTCATACATAACATCCTCAGGTATGCTTTGCTCTCAGAAAATCTGGTATTGAAATGTATGCTGAAGTAGAAAAATCCTACAGTTATTTAGATTATAAAGCCTCAAGAACACAGTTTCAGGTTCCCTATATTGGAGCTTTTGGGGGTTATTAAACTATATACCCATTCATTCATTCATCAACAATTTTTTCACTCAAACCCCAAGTGTATGTATGCATGTATTTATATTGTGGTGCTGAGGGTTGAGCCCAGGGCCTCACACATGCTAGGCAAGTGCCACCACTGTGCTGTATCCCCACCCAGAACTTCAAGCATTTAAAAGTAAAACCATATGTAGGATGTGCTTTCGGGCATATCTTGGGCTATTAGCAGTTGGTTATTTCATCTTCTTCTTGAAACCAAGGAAGGTCTGGTAGGCCAGTGGTGCATGACTGTAACTGTAGTGGCTTAGGAGGCTGAAATAGGAGGATCACAAGTTCAAAACCAGCCTCAGCAATTTAGCAAGGCCCTGTCTCCAAATAAAATATATTAAAAAAAAAAAAAGAGGCTAGGGATGTCGCTCAGTGGTTAAGTGCCCCTGGATTCAATTCCTGGTACAACAAAACAAAACAAAAAAAATAGTAATACATAATAACAACAATATAAATAAGAACTGCACTCATTTATTGAGCAACTACTGTGTACTAAACCCTATGTCAAGTTCTTCCTAGGGGTCTGACCTCTACCTTGAATGAGCCAGACCTCAGAAAGAGACAACTTTGATGAGAAGACCTAGGACTAGTGTTCTCTCTTGGACATCCTTCTCTAAATAACAAAAAGGAAGGACTGTCTTTGAAATCGGACTACTACATAGGCTTCCTTTTCTGTTGCATTCTGCCCTCCAATATGAAAATTGCTTAGGGACCAGAAAGGGTTTTGGAATTTGACATATTTTAGGCTTTAATTCTGTTCCTACAGGGCTTTGGGCATGTTACTTAGCCTCCCTGGGCCTCAGTGTTCTCATCTGTAAAATAGGAGTAATCAATAGGGTCCACTTTACAACTAGAACACATGGTGCAGTGTCAAGCCTGTGGAGGTTGCTCAGGGAGTCTTAAAGCGCTTCCCGTTCCTCCTCTTCTCTCCCTCATGGGCCAGTTGTCTGGGTATGGTCCAGGCTGACTGGTCCAAAAGAATCTATTTCCAGATGACATTCCTTTAGTCCTGAAACTGCCCAAGTCCTGCTCATCATGCCTCTATCCCTGATAAAAAGAGAATATTCAGGATGCCACATCATGAACTCTTCATACAGGCATTATTTATTGAACAGTGAATACATCAATGTAATACAGCTCTGTGGTAGGTTTCCAGGATAGACGTGTGTGTGTGTGTGTGTGTGTGTGTGTGTGTGTGTGTGTTATCAGTTCTGTCTATCATGTAGTAATATAAATTCCTGAATTGGATTTGGTAAGCTTCAGTGTCTTTCCTATGAGCTCTACTTCTTATTGTTGTGAATATAACTTTCTGCTGTACCCACACCCCCCTTTTTTTGCAGTTATAGATGGACAGCATGACTTTATTTTATTTGCTTATTTTTAAGTGGTGCTAAGGATTGAACCCAGTACCTCACACATACTAGACAAATGCTTTGCAACAGAGCTACAGCCCCAGCCCTGTGCCCCCTTGTGATATGATTTATAGCAATAAAAATACATATAGTTAGGATATGCACTTGCATGTGAATTAAGAATATGAAGTGCGAGAAAACTCACAAACCAGGTGAAAAATTCACTTCATCTGTGCTATAGTATGGATTTTGAATCTACCCCCAAAGTCCCATGAATTAAAGGTCCCCAGCCTGTGGTGCTATTGATGTGCGGTAGAACTGTAAGAGGTGGAGCCTAGTGGAAGAAAAGTAGGTCATTGCGGGGAGGGTGTCCTTGAAAGAGACACTGAAAGAGACAAGAGCCCTGGCCCTTGCTCTTTTGCTCTCTGCTTCTTGAACACCATGGAGCGAGCAGCTCACTTTACCGTGTGCTTCTGCCATGATGGTCTGCCTACCCACAGGCCCCAAAGTAATGGGCCTTCTAACCACAAACTGAAACCTCCAAAACTGTGAGCCAAAATAAATCTTTCCTCTTATTAAGTTGATCAGACATTAATCACAGTTATGGAAAGCTGACTAACACAACCTGTCAAGCAGTATTCAAGTGTATGTATTCACAACTTTTTTCAACCCAGGACTGCTAGGTACAGCCAGGCGAACTACATAATAAATAGTTCCCAAAGGTGGTATGCAATGCTGAAGCCCAGTCTTCCCAGTCTCCTTGAGCATATTCAGACATTAAAAAGAAAATAATCCTTGTTTGGACTCATGGAACAGAAACAGGAAGTTACTAGAATAACCATGAAAGGTTTGACTTACAGTTAAAGCATAGTCTTCTTTCTTAATCTCTGACTTCTTAGATCTATTTCTTTTTGGAGCCTCTGTAATCATTTCTGAATAAGATACTTCAAAGGACACCTCTTCAGTCTCTGCTGGAATGTCCTTTTCCAGATAATCATCTAGAGAAACAAAAGATACAGAATATTTAATATGCCACTTAATCAAGCAATACGATGTACTGGAAAATAAGCACAAAATATTCACAAAACTGCCCACAGCACATCAGGGAAAAGCACTGGGTTCCCCCAGAGGAGTTCAGTTAAGTAATGCTGTGGTGTCATCAGCTTCCACAGGAACAGATTTCTATTGTTATCCAAATGAACTTTCAATATAATCTTATTTTTCAAATTTTAGACTTTTATGTCTCATGAAAGTTTTTTAGGATTAGCCCCAAGCAGGGTATTTCTATATGTTCCTGTGATATTGAAATTAAGCCCATCCAGACCCACTTTCACTTACTGGAGAGTTAGAAGCTTGAAGCAGAGGAAGAAAGAAGAGATTGTGGAATTCCTCTCTCCTTTTACTTCTTCCTCTTCTTACTTTTTTTTAAACTGTGAAATATTTGCCTCTTAAGACATGTTCAAATTGAATTTAGACTTCACTGAAAGGTGTGTTCAGATGAACTAATGTGAATTTCTTTATTTGATGCTGGTTACCTGACTTTGTATGATACACATTAAGAAGAAGTCTGCTGAGTAATATATATAATGCCCTACAGAATTGCTTTTCTCCAGCTAGTCTGAAAATTAGAACAGAAGATTCCTTGACCCAAAACAAAGGAATTCATAAATTATGTGAGCAATCCCATCCTCTGATTATTGATTGATTTTGGCTTGTCATCTTGTTTCACTACCTGGCAAAACTGTTTATGTGCAAAGTAATTATTTATTTGATTACAAAAAGAACTCAATTCTCTTTTGCCCTCTTCTATAGATGCTGACAATTTGACAAACTGGAACAAAAAGGAACAAAAGGCAGAATTAATGGAAGATCTGATTAATTTTACATTAAAATTTGGAAACCCAGTAAATGGATGTGCCATGAATTTCAAAAATGGCAAAGTTGTGAGTTTTCATTTGTCATATGGAGGCTTGCCCTCAAAATAGAGGTAGAAAAAATATTAAATAATACTCTAACCTCTTAAGGATAAATGTACAAAGTCTTTGGAGAGTAGCAATTAAACTGGCCAATTCTCCAAAACCAGAGGACCACTGCATACTGATGTTTCTTTTAGAGGCAGCATAATTTGAGCTAGGTTACCATATGGCATTAAATACAAATAAATAATAACAAATAAATAATTTCTGGAAAATACCTTCTCCTTGATTTGTTTTGTGACAACTTTATTGAAATACTATTCATGTGCCATGAAATATATCACTTAAAGTAGACAAATCAATGGTTTTTAGCACATTAGTGTTGGACAATCATCATCGAGTCAGTTTTGGAACATTTCATCAACTCTATTTCTTTGAATTGTGTTGGGAATGCTGAAAGTATAGGCTGTTTTTACAAGATGACTGCACATACTTCTGGAAAACTTTGAGCAATCACAAAAGTACATGGCCCTCAAGAGCCTGTTTCCATCTATCAGGTGGATTTGAGATTCCATTCTGAGCCCATGTAGGGAGCCCACCTCTCAGAAAGAAAAGACCCAGATAAAAGCTACCGCTGTAATCCTATATGTTGCTAGCTGCTAAAAAAAAAAACATGTTCCTGAGCAGTAATTAGGGAGTCTTGGAAGTGGCCTGCTTCCTGGTTTTCCTGCAACTGCTGGGCGGAGGCCTCAAGTCAAAGACACTGCTTAAGTGAGGAGTTTCTAAATTGGTGATAATTGGCTGGTGATAGAGGAGGAAGAAACTCTGCTTCCAGCATGACTATTAGTTTTGTCTTCTGTGACAGAATCAAGTGTTGGAAGGTGAGAGGAAAGAGAGAATACTGGAAGCAATAGAATAATAATGGTTAGAAAAACATACTTTTTTGCTTTTAGAAATTCACTACTGGGGGGAAGAGGGATGGGGAAAGTTGGTCTCGATGGGTACTAAGTTACAGTCAGGAGCAGGGAGTTCTGGTGTGCTATCATATGGTAAGGTTTCTAGAAAAGATGATAATGTACTGTAAATTCCAAAAAAAATTTAAGAAAGGAGTTTGAAAGTTTTTACCACAAAGAAATGATGTTTGGGTGACAGTCTATTTAACCTGATGGAACCATTACCCCATGTATGCATATATTGAAACATCATATGATAACCCACTAATAGGTATACTGTTTTATGTATTTATATATTGGTATAAAAATAAATGTATTAAAAGAAACAGTTAAAAAAGAAAACTCACTACTGTGTCAAGTTCCCAAACACAAGTGAGAAGACACAGCTTAAGTTCAATAGGTGATCATGTCACTCACCACTCAGTGTACTCTGAGCTGACTGCCCCGCATCTGCAGACCCATTGGAATGAACTGGTACATCTGGAATAGCCTCCAGTATGGACTGCTAAGCAAGGGAAAATGAGCACAGAACATTATACCACAAATATAGGCTACCCATCATTTCACTCTGACTCACATAAGAGTTATTTTCACACACACAAAGTTTATGATTTCATAGCTGGTCTGCATTAATTTTCATTGTCACTGCATTCAGTTTAGATGTGTTCCATTCGGGTTTCTCAAAATGGAACAATGTCAAGGTCAATATAAGCCTGCTTTCTTAGCTCTTCAATATTTGCTATTTAACCTTTGCTAAGATATACAAATTATAAAACTTGATGTCATGTAAATTATTTGATTTGCTAATCTTGATGCATTTGTCTTTATTAATTATATTACAAATATTAACAGGTTAATTCTCTCACTGCAAAACACATAGGCAATAACAAAAATTAAGTATCTTTTCTAATTTTGTTTCTCTTCTTAATCAACTTAGTACTTTCTTCACTGAGATCCTGTCAAAGCATTGAACTTGGCTGCAATGTCATCAGAAGTTGAGTATCTCTTTGTTCAAGTCTAGTTGGATATGTGAAAAATTTACACAGAAATTCTAACAAATTCTATAAATTTTCATGTGAGAGTTATCTGTGAATATGTGTGACAATGAAAATCTACTATTTGGTCAAGAATTTTTTGTATGATATTCACACATAAAATTTGTCCCCTAGAGCTTGATGTTTTCTTTTATTCTCATATTTATTTTGCAATAACTGAACATCTGTTTCATAAAAGATCCTTTATCATGTTTTCTACAAATCACACAAGGGAGTCTCAAATTCTGAGCCTGATATTCTCTTTCATTTCAAAGGAGCTGATATACTTTAATTGTATAAATAGATTGCCAATTATTAAAACACAGGTGCCCAAATACTGTAATGAGCGGGAATAAAGACAAAAAAGTCCAAGGGCTATATAAGAGCTATGTAGTTCACTGTCAGATTTGTAGTGGCTCTAAAATCCACAGCATAGAATGAAGCTTATTTACTGTTATAGTTTAGATCTGCAATCTCCCCCTAAAGTCCCAAGTATTAAAGGCTTGGTCCCCAACTTAGAGCAATTAGGGGTAGTGGAACCTTTAAGAAGTGAAGCCAAAATAGAGGGCCATAGGTCAATGGGGGTGTGCTCATGAAGGGGATATTAGGACCTTGATCCCTCCTCTTCCTCTCTTCTCTGCTTCCAGCTGCCATGATGGAAGTGCCTTGCTCTTCCGTGCACTCCAGCCAGGACATGCTGCCTTGCCACAAGCCCCAAAGCACTGGGACTGACAGGCTGTGGACTAAAACCTCTAAAATTGTAAGCTAAATAGACCTTTTCTCCTTCTAAGTTGATAATCTCAGGATTTTGTTGTCATAATAGAAAGCTGACTAATGTATCCACATATGAAAATCCTTGAAAAGATGGGGACAACTTTTCAGTGGTTTCCTAAAGTTTTCTAACAAAGAAATGCTTTGTCAGCCTTAAAATGAATCCCTGGTGGGAGGGAAGACTCTTTGGAAAACTGAGAAACGTTTAATTTATTAATGCATTTGAGAATTTATTGAGAATTTAAAGCTAAAGGCTTAGGATGCTTAAACTCACTGAATTGTTAGTTTCTTATCTGTGGAGAAGAGTCCATCTACTCAGTGTAATCGGCCTCTAGCCAGCCTACTGTACTGATGAGTGTCTGTTCTTTGTAATATAAATTACTGTGGGGCAGAAGTTTGAGTCATAATGCCTCCTCTTGGACCACTTACAATGAGGAGGACAGAATAACACATAGGGAACACTATTAGAAGACACACAATCACTGTTAAGAACTTATTTCTATAAAGTATAAGTATTATTGGAAAATGATTCAGAGGGAAGAGGAGCTGCCCAGAAGGTTTTTGTGGATGAAGTGGTTGAACCTGAGCTTGAACCAAGGGACAAAGAAAAGGACTTACAGAGGCAGAGGACAGGTGAAAACATTCAGGCCAGAAACAGAAGAAGAAATTTCAGACATGGACAAAGCTGAAGTGTTTCAGCACAAGGATCATGGAGAGCAGGGTACTCCAGGAATTGAGTCATAGTATTAGATAAATATAAGAGAGAAATTAATCAAGAGGGTCAGCTCCAATTATGGAAGGGGCTAAAAGCCAAGTAGAAACCCTGGGACTTAGAATCATAAGAGTTAAAAATAAAACAGAAAAAACAAAGGAGCTCTCTGCTATTTATTTATTCATTCATTCATTCATTCATTTTTGCACTGGGGATTGAACTTAGGGGCACTTAGCCATCATGCCACATCCCTACCCCTTTTTCATATTTTATTTAGAGACAGGGTCTTGCTAAGTTGCTTAGGGCCTTGCTAAGTTGCTGAGGCTGACTTTGAACTTACAATCCTCCTGCCTCGGTTTTCTCAGCTGCTGGGATTATAAGTGTGCACCACCACAACCAGCAGCCCTCTCCTTTTAAAATCACTCAGTGAAAATGGAAAAGGAAGATCAGCCTGCCCACAAAGGGTCCTTGAGTTTTGAAATAGGTCAAGTAGAGAGGCTAGATGCTTAGCATTTATATGGTTATCCCTCAAGATTCACGGGGGACTGGTTCCAGGAGCCCCTGTGGATATAAAAAAAATCATGGAAACTCAAGTCCCTTCTATAAATTAACCTACATACCTCTTTCTGTATACTTAAAATCATCTCTAGATTGCTTGTATATTTGTACTAGTACAATATAGGTGCTATGAAAACAGATGCTATGCTGTATGTCTTAGGGAACAATGAAAATGGGAAAACGTTTGGACATGTTCAAAATAAATGCAACTTAAAAAAATATATCTGATCTGCAGTTGGTGGAATCTGCTGTTACATCTATTTATTTTAATAGATTCTGGATGATCATTTGATATAATGCACACTCCATTCCAGTTAAACAATTGCAAGTTTTAAAACCAAGAAGTATTTTACTTGGTGATGAGACATTAGAAGAAAAGTTCTAATTTTTTTAAGGGGTAGGCATGGCCTTTGGTGAGTTTTTCTGGAAGAAAAAAATTTCTAAAGAAAAAGAAATCTTAGATGTAGATTTTTATGAGTGTGAACAGATTTTTAAAACAAACCATAGAAATAGACCCTTAAAAAGTGAGGATTTTACTTATCTTAATAAAGGTGGCATTTCAAATATGTAAAGAAAATTACAGATTGAGGGGAAAAAAAGTACTAGTCAAGTTGAGGCATAGTTTTGGGAAAGATAAAGTCAGATTACATACTTTATGCCTTTTCATAACATAAATTCAAATAGGGAAATTCTTGGGGCCTGCTGAAGTCTTGAAGAGACAGTAAGGTGTCCTTCAGAATTCATCCTGGCAGGATAGACCCCCAACCCTTAATCCTACTTCACTCAATTACTAAAAATCCAACCACCTCAAGAGACCTGGGAGTCAAACTGGGGTGCCTGTAGTTCTTTTATAAGCAAGAACCATGTGGCTCACAAAAGTAGTTACCTCATGGTAAGAAGGCCTAGGATCCTTTCAGGACAAGTACAGTGGGGGTGAAGTCAGAATCTGAGGGCTACTCTAGCAACCAACCATTTTGTATAGCATTTATAAATAAAGATATCCTCAATAACAAAGAATCCAAAGTAAGTCAAGAGATTGATGCCAATGAGATTGTTTTAGGCCCAGTAGTGCTCTATTTATGTCATTACTGGTATCAAATTTGTTTTCTGAAAAACAAAAATGAAATCTGAGTGTTTAATTTGCTGTGGACAGCTCTACCTGTAAGTGCCATGCAAGATCATTTTCTTTCTTTCACATCCTCAAACTTCCAAGCACCCTATTTTAGACAATAGGTTCTCTTTCTTTTTTCCTTTTTAAATTTTCTATGTTTGTTTTGTGTGTGTGTGTGTCTTTTTTGAAAAGTGTTTTCTTTTCTCTTTTTTTTGCTTAAATATTTTTTGTTTTGCTTTGTAGACAATATGTTCTCAATAATGACTGTCAAATGGATGAATGAATCAATCATATGGAAAGTTGAAAAAATGAAGCACCAGTCTTATTAGTAATAAAATTGTGGTCATATCTCCCATAGAAACTTAAAACACAAGCATTATCTGCCTCTTCTTCAGCACCCAATTATGCAATCACCCTACTCCAAGTTCTGCTCAGTACATACATGGAACCACCCACCTGCAGACCTTTTTTGCTGGCTTGAACAAGACACTGAGCTTATTAAAGTCAGCTAGAGATGCAGACAGGGGTAGGACTATGTCAGGAGCTTTCAAGTTAGCTGCAGGGTGCTGGATAAACACTGTAGCCTTTAAGCAAGTCTTGCATTTTATATTGGTGACTTGCAGCTATGGGAAGGATGGGCTAGAAGGGTACAAAGCTAAGGACTGGGAGATGCCTTATGTGGCTACTTCAGCAATGCAGAAAGTAGTTTCCACACTAAAGAAGTAGTTGTAAGAAAGGCAGGGGGTAGAAATATTCTACAGCCATTCACATGATAAAATCCACAGGTCTCAGAGATGGGCAGAAAAAAGTGAGAAGGCAAAGTTACAGTTGATGCAAAGGGATAATTCGTGGGCATATGGGTGCTACCAGCTAAGGTGGAAGATAAAGGATCCTGGGAAAGGGCTAGATCAGGAAGCCCTTTATATTGTATCCCTCAGTCACAGGGATACAATATAATTGTGTTAGATCTACTACCGGGAACTCCTTCTGATAGTTACCAGAGTTTGTGAATGATTTACTTTGTTTTCATTAATAAGTAGGGTGAATTTGAGATAATATCTAAAATAGAGACATTCTAGTTTATTTTCATTCCAATGCAAGGTCTCGCATGAGAAAAGAAAATACAGACTTTCATCTAGTAGGTCAGAAATTATGGGTATCCTTCAGCCTATCTGTGCCATAGCTTATAGAGTTACTGATAAGTTATTTATGGTAAAAACAATTCACATTATTTTATTCTTCTTAAATGGGGATATCTTGGTAGTGTGTCATGTAAGTGAATGTCAGCTATCTTGTTTTCAAAATGGGCAATGATTGACAAATTATTGCCCAAAGGAACATTTGAGGGTGTCACCTCCATCTGTCATTGACTAGCTGCTACCACTGAAGAGGCCTTTCTAATGGGGTCTTTCACTGTCTTTTGAGGAGTCCATCACATCTACCCCGTCAGAGCACAAGTTCTGAGATACTGAGCAGAAGTTCTTGGTAGAGGGAACTGGAGGGGGAGTGACAAGAATTTCTGACAAATAAAAGTACACATTCTGTTACTTAAGGTCAAGTAAGATCCGGAGCCCTCAGTCACGAGGATAAAGAGCAAGAGTCTGCATGAGTGAGCCCTGAAAACTAAGGCTGGAAATGCATGCAAAATCCTAGAGTCTTCAAAATCAGGAGGAAGGTTTTAAATTTATCCTGTGGATAAAGAGACTTCTAGGTTAACGTGGCAAAGGTAAGCCAGATCGCTGAGCCTCTGGTAATTTTTTATGTGAACTCAGTCAGGAGGACCAAAATTAACAAGTTCCTCTTGGCTTGCAAAGAACACCCTTTGGTTTCTGGACACAGTGGTATTAGTTTTTGCAGTCACCTTTCATTTCATCATTCCTAAGTTTTGAGTCATGTTCCTGATTGTTACAAAGTTGGGGGGGGGTCCTGCCAGCAGCTGTGGCTTCTTTGAAATCCTAGGTCAAGTTCTGCTTTTTAATTTGTCTTGGTGAAATCACTTCTTCTTACCTTTCTTCATTAATTGCCTAGACTTTTGATTTTTGCCTTCACATGCAATTGTATTAGCATGAGAGAACTTACCATGGAGCCGATCCTGGGATCTACAAAACTCCCTTCTTCATTCCGGGACCCATTGGGAAGGGTAGTACTGTTGAGAGAAGCATCATCTGGCTAAATGGAGAAATGAAAGTACCATTCTTATTCAGGCAAATACTTTCTAATGTGGTTGTGCATTCCACTGTATCTACATATTGAGACGTGTGGAATATATGAATCAATGACTGCCTGGGCACTGACAGGTAGAGCCTTGCTGTGAGCCATTTGAATGCCAGTCCCTCTGACAGAAACTGATCTCTGTGGCAAACAGTGCTGTTATCTGCCACAAACTTCATTTGCTTCAATACTACCTTGGTTTAATTCCAGAGAGCTAGGTGATAAATTCAAAACCTTGATCTCTAGGTTCATTTGCAGCCAAGAGAGATCATGTGACTAGTGTGGCTAACAAAAATGTAAGAATACACTTACCAAGAGTGCTTCTGGGAAAGCTCTGGCTTTCCTGATCAAAACCAAACCAACCAACAAACAAAAAGATCTCAGCTGGTATATGCTCATGACAGGACCACAGCCTAGAGTTGTCAGGTATTCTGTACAAATAAGGATCATACGAATGATGATTCTGTAGATCTGGTTGTGTCCATGAGAAGAGGGCATCACATGGCTACCCCATCAGACCTGGTCCACCTATGCTAAGTATCTCTATGGGAAGCAAAACAACTACTTAACTGGTCTAATACTTTTTGGTTCAGTTTTGCAAATTCTATGACTGTTCTTTTTTTTTTTTTTTAGTGAATAGAATTCAGTAGCAATGGTACCAACTCTTTTTTTCTTTGTCATTCATAAAGCTAGAACTGTTTTTTTTCCTGTAATGTACAATGATTATATTGAAATTTAAAAAATAACATTATTTTCTTTGCCAAAGGAAACATCACAAAATTAAATATATTTGATACTTATGAAAACATATAATGTGTTCTTTTTAAATAACTGTCAATCTTCAATTCATTTGACCAATTTTCTCAACTCATTTGACAATATTTTCTCAATTCTCATATAGATAGCCTGTATTTCTTTTATAAAATGAATAAAGAACTTTTCTTTAAAGAAACAAATAAAACCCAAGACCTAGCACAAGAAATTTGAACCAAGATGGAAAACATCTACCTCCCTGTCTTCCCCATATCACTACAAATGGCAGGAAACACACACACACACACACACACACACACACGAACAGATTTTTAACAACACTGGATTATCAGCAGAGAATTCTGTAGCAGAAAACTTGCAGAAATTTGTGGATATAATGCAAATGGGATTAGTTTGGGAAGATAAAAACCTCTGCCTAAAAGTAGCATAAAAGAAAATTTCTCAGGACAGAAGAGAAAAATAAATAATAAAGAAAAGAACACAGGCAAATTATTAAGAAATGTTTGTAAAAACAGAAGCCACATAGACCTTCCCTTCCTTAAAAATGTAGGTAATCCTTAAATATAATCCTAGGAAAATGCAAAAAATACAATCCAAACAAAATGATCTAAGTGTTTGGGATGGGTGAGTTTCCAGTGCAGGCCCAAAGGTCTAAAGGAAAAGGAACTCCAGAAGTCACAATGAAGACATGGAGGGGAGAACAAAAGCAGAAATCAGCTTTGCCCAGAAGTAAAAAACTAAGAGTTCTTCATCTCCCTCTTTGGTTTTGCAATGAGAGTGTGTACTAACACCTATCTACCTGCTCTACACACTTTAAAGTTTAGCATATTCCAATATTCACTTAGATGAATTTACAACCGACAATTTTTGCCTTTTGGAAAAACAAATCTACCTAACAGTACAGGAAACATCAAATAATTTCCTACACCAATCACTCAAAAAAAAAAAAAATCAATGAAGTCTAGCTCTGCAGAAAACTTCAGAAATTCAGAGAGCTGTTATGTTCCATCTGCAAATGTGCTGAAATCTTCTGCCCTGTGGAACACCTTTCCACTGTGTTTCCTTGGGTGGAGTATTTGGGTGGACCTACCACCCTCCTTTGTGACAGGGTGCTGATAGCCTAGGGAAGGGCCTGGGGAACTGAACAGGAAGAAAAACTCCTAGGACCCACAGTCTTGATCAGAAGTTCTCCATCCACTGGAGGACACTCGCTGCCACTCAATAGGAGGTGTGCAGTTTCCTGACCAGATGGTGCTCATGTCCTAGCAGATACGTCACTGTTTACATCACTGCTGCTACATATTGCAAAAGCTACCATGTTCTCTCCACGGAATATTTACATTTGGAAAATCACTGGAAAACACTAAATGTTTATATCTTAGTCAATGCTGAAAATACTGCAAAGAATTTTACAGGGTTGTCTGTGAGCTTACCCATGAAGACCAAGCTTTAGTTGACAATAACCAACACACAGGATATGCATAAACTACTTTTTGCTATTGTTATGTTTGCCTATAGATTATTTTAAAGATAGAATTTAGTTATTTTGGATTTACCCATAAAATTATTACTTGCTGAATTTAAGAACCAAGGCTGTATTTGTGTTTATCAAAAATCTCAATTTTATGGCATCAATACCCAGGAGAAATAAAAATACACATTCTTTATATTGTATTAATGTTCATGGCAGCATTGCTTTCAATAGCTCCAAACTGGAAATAATCCTAATGTCCATCAGTAGGTGAATAAATATGCCAATAGTGTCATATTGGTACAACGGATTACTATTCGTTATAATAGGATTACATACAATGTATATCTTAAAATTATGATCGTTAATTTAAAAAGCAGATTCAAAAGAGTATTTTATGACTCCATCTATTTGAAAGGGGAAACCACCCTAATGTGTTAGAAATCACAGCAGGGTTTTTACCTCTAAGGGAGAGAAGGAACACTGACCAAGAGGAACACTGCTCCTAACAGAAACATCAGCACAGTTTCTAGAGTTTCCTAACCATCTTGTAAGAATAAGGGTTAACTCCACATGCTAAGGTGGCAGTGTTCAAAGGAAAAGGCCAGAGGTCCATGGGAAAGTTGCCACTGCACCCTGCTCCAGCTGTACCAGCTTTGGTTTATCCACCATCGGTTTGATGGTGGGATGAAAATATTCTACATTTTGGTAGATTAACAAATTTGTTAACACTAATTGAATTATGTACCAAAAGTATATGCACTTATTATGTGTAAATTATGCCTCAACATCAAAAAGCTTAAAAATTTTGACTCTGAAAAATAATTTAATTCTTATCTTCAGAGATAAGGATATCTCATCTTCAGAAATAAGTAGCTATGGCTACTCTGAAATAGAACATACTACTATAACAATGAGTAAATCAGAGAGAAACATGTTTTTCTTAGAAAATAAGAATGTTTGCTGACATTTACAAATAGAGTGAGGCAAGAAAAAAAATAACAATAAGAAAAAATATTAAATCTAGAACATAAAGATGAAAAAATCTAGAAGACAGAAGGAACAGACTTACATGAGAGAAAGTTTAGGAAATAACAATAATAATAAATTTTAATAATTCAGGCAAAGCAACAACAATGTATTCTAAAAGGATAGGACTTAGAAAATGGGGAGAAAAAAATAATTGTAGACATAATGAAAGACAATGTCTAGAAACTGAAGAAAACAGTTCTCAGGTGGAAAGTATCCACTGAGTGTTGGTAAGAAATGAAGGAAATGAAGAACAAATCTTTGTGGAAGTTCAGAACTGCTGGTGGAAGAGGAAGTACATCCTTAACATTTTTCAAATTCATGAAATTGAAACAGTTGCAAGAGAGGGTAAACAAACAAAAATCCTAGAGAAGTTTATATAAAAAGAAACAAGGTTCCGGCAACTAAAATAAGAAAAACAGAAAACAAAAGCAAATGTCTTGTGAAAAGTGTCAAAATCTGTTAATGAAAAATAAAAGAAATTCTACTGTGCAGGTTTTCCACAGAACTAAGGTTTTGTGTTAAAAATGAACAGTTAGTTGGCACATGGTCCTAACAGAAACATCATCACAGTTTCTAGATTTTCCTAACCATCTTGTAAGAATAAGGGATAACTACATATGCTAAGGTGGCCCTGTACACAGGAAAAGGCCAGAGGTCCATGGGAAAGTTGCCACTGCACCCTGCTACAGCTGTACCAGCTTTGGTTTATCCACCATTGGTTTCTTACTTTGTGATTAAAACAAACTCCTACTTGTTTAAATCAAGGTTCCTTAGATTTCCTTTTATAGGAAGCAAACACAGATGCAACTGATGATTTTTAACAGATGGTGTGATTGTATTTTGCAGTGAATTATGAATCAATAGCAAGTGTAGCTATTTGATTTTCACTTAAGACATTGGAAATAAACAAGATTGATTACTTTGCCTTTTCAACAAACTAACATCTCCACTGAATATTTCATTTATCTTGGCTGAACATAAGGGAAATGTCTTCTTTTAACTATATAAGAAGTGATTTGTAGATGAGGTTTCGGATGCTGGCAGACTGGATTGTAAATCTTTTATAAATGCAGATTTAGGGGCATTTGTGGAAGAGTCAAGGGTCAGCCACATCTAACACATGAATAGACTACTCATTTATTTATTGTAAGTAGTTTACTTCAAAATAAATGTTGACTATAAATAAAATCATAGTCCTTTATGAGAATTCCTTTGAACACTTGTTCAAAGTTCAAAAGTTTTTCTCAATAAACTTATTATCAAGATACTGCCAATATACAATTAAGTGCATATTTAAAACACAATATTTAAACTGACACACAAGTGAAAATTTAAACTGCAATATTTAAGGAGTACACAGCATACAATCTGATAATTTTTGACAAAAATTATAGTCAAGATAATAATAATGAACAAGATCTCTCCTCTCCTCCCCTCCCCTCTTCACCTTCCCCAGATCGCTGGCAATTCACTGAGCTTTCTGTCACTCTACGTTAGTTCCACTTTCTATAATTTTATATATATTGAATATTTTTTGGTCTGGCTTCCTTTACATGGCATGATTATTTTGAGGTCCATCCATGTTAAATGTAGACAGTTCATTGCTTTTTACTGCTGAGTAGTATTCCACTGTGTGGACATACTATAGTTGTTTATCCATGTACCAGTAGGTGGACATCTGGGCTGTTTTCAGTTTGGGGCTTTTACAAATATAACTACATTTAAACAGTCTTTGTATGGATATGTACCACCTGCTGGTGGAAGGGTAAGTACATCCTTAACACTTTAAGAAGCTGCTAAATCATCTTTCAAAGTGGATGAGTCACCTACATTCCCAGCATATAAAAGGTCCATGTGCTGTGAATTCTTGGCACTGCTTAATGAGGTCAGTCTTTTCCATTTGAGCCATTCCACAGGGAATCTAGAGAGATCTCACTATGGCTTTATTTGCATTTCTATGATCATAAATGATAGTACATTTTAGTGAACTTATGGGCCATCTACGTGCTTTCTTTGAAGAGCCTGTTCAAAATCTGTTGCCCATTCTAAAAGGCAAGAAAAGACCTAACAAATGTTGATACTGGAAGACTTAGGGTATGTGCCTGTTTGTTTTTAGAAGTAGATGGTTTCTGAGGTTAATTCAAGGGAACCAAGGGTTGGTTACCAGAAGAGAGCAGATGGTGAAGCACTTTTAGTATCCAAAGGAGTTTTTGTATTTTTTCTGTAAACAAGAGGGATTATAATCTGGGAAACAATGGTAGTTAGCCATATGCCCAACCCTCTCTCTCCTAAAACCTAACAGAAGTAACAAGATGTAGCTAAAAGACAGGAAAGAATAAGCACAGCATCATTCATATAAGTCAGAGAGAGAGAGGTTTCAGAAATAATGTAGATTCTTTCCCCAAATCTACCTCCTGCCTCATTAACACAAGCACAAGGATAAAGCAAATGCAGAAAATTCTGGAAATGATTACACAGTAGTATCTCCTCTAAAGCAGGAAAGAAAATAACTAGAGGTATGAGTAGCCATGGGTAGGTTCAATCTGTGACTTCTCTTTCAAACTAAAAGTCACTGCTCAACATCATCTCTGCAGAGAAGAAAGGACCTATTGGGATTTGCCAGTTTGCTTTGTTCTATCTGGAAAGAAGTCAGGAGAGGGGCTAAGAAGATGGGAAAATAAATTACATAAACTCTAGATTGGGAGAGAAAAGATACCTTAGGCTAGGCTACAAGTAGAAATAGATGAGAAAAATTAGTGAGTGAGGGATAAACACAGCAACCTTTCCCCACTGTACTTTAATAGAGGCCTGATCATTGTCCTTGGCTTGTGTGACTTTGCCCTGCTCTGGTTAACCCCAAAGAGAAGTGGCTTTCTGGGGAAGGTGAGGGAATAGGGAAGAGAGAGGGGGACTGGACACTTCAGGTGAAGTGCTGTCCTCATAAGGGGACGGATATCCACCTGCAGCGGGGAACAAAAGAACACCCAGAAACAAGAGAAGAGCCTGTTGCAGCAGGCAGACTTGTAACTCAGTGGTACTAGAACTCCTAAGAGAATTTTTATAAATGAAAGAAAAAAAAAGTAAGGACATTAACTCTATCAAAAAAGAAATGCTTGCAAATCATAGAATTCCTCAGTGTATGTCTATTTTCATAAAATAATGGATTTATTTGTGGATTTACCTATTAAACTTTACCTTATTTGCTGCTGAATATTTTTCTTACAAATTGATCAAAGGTAGACAGATATGTTGAAAGCTGTGGTTGTCCAACCGTCTTAATCACACCACAATTTTCCCAAGGCTTGCATGATTGTCTTGAAGAAATGGCTGCTTCTTTCATGCCTACCCGCAGTTCCCCTTCTATAACTTACCACAGGACCACTCGTTTGGATAACTTCTGGTACCTCTTTTTCTTCCTCAGTGCCACCCAACTGAGCAGTATGGTTGTCACAAGCATCATCTGGCTAATAAAAAAAAAAGAAGAAAGAAAGTCGTTTTTATCCAGGCATTTATCTTTCCAAATGTGACAGTGCATTCCATTATGCATTCCACCAGCATTTGTATGTCTCTGTACAGTTGTGTGGAGATAGATAATGACTACCTGTGGTTTGATAATAGCACTTACCCAATTTTCCCATAACCATATTGATTCTCATTAATGCCATGCACTATAACAGAACTGGTCTCAGAAACAAAGGCACTGCCAACTGCCTGCCAAAATCCCCTTTTGTTTAATAACTTATGAATATCATGATTTTGTTCCATGGACAAAAAGACAAGTGTCATCCTGTGATGGCTACATTCAATTAGATAAGAATGAAATTCTACTTGGTAGAGTATCCAACAGTGTTTTCTTATTGGAATGGAAGAATTAAGTTGACTAGTGCTTCTTCCAGGAACATAGACAGGGAACCGAGATGCCCAGACATCCTTTCCTATAAGTAAAAGCTATTAGCCTGTATGCTAAGGGAACAGAATGAAACCATAAAAGAATTGGTAGATCCATTCTACCACAGCCATTCCAGCCTTGACCTTCCTACATCAAACTTCTTATTTTAAAACAAAAGTAAGCCTCTAATTGTCTAATGATTCAGCTCACTGACTAATACCATATGGTTTTAAAAGCAGACTTTATGGCTGTATTTTGCAGTGGTTTATAAATCCATAGCAAAAAATAGTTTCTTTTTTTATTATGAGAGTGAAAATATATTAGAACAAGTACTTTATGAATACATAGGACTGAACTAAATATTTTATTCCCATTCACTGAATATTGGAAAAGCTCTGATTTTCATTATGCAGGAAGTGTATTTAGAAACTAGGTTTCTGATTGTGATGGACTGCACTGCAGGCCTGTGCATGAGCTCTAAGATTTAGGAGCATCTGTAATAGAGGAATTCTTCCCAATAAAATGCAAATATTACATTCCATGGTTGAAGCAACTTTTTGCAAAATTAAACATACTGTATATTACTAAAATCATGATACATGAAACTTTAGAAGGTGCTATTTTTCATCTTGTTTCTCTGTGTTATCTAACTTTCCCCCAAAGTGCACATATTATATAAATAGAAAAGCATCTGTTTTTAGTGGCAAACAATGCTCAAGAGGAAGCAGAAGCCGTTTTGGTCAGAAGACTGAGCACATACCACCTACCCTCCTCCACCCAATCACTCATTATTAAGAAGGTGTGTATTTTGATAAGAACAGGTTCAGAATGGCATTAGAAACAACAAAGTGTTCTAATGACAGATCAGAAATTTTGTTAGAGATACCTGGAAAATCACAAGTAAATAATTTGAAAATTGTGGGGTTATTCTCAGCCTAAAAACAACATAGGACCACATTTCTGGCACGGAGAGGACAGATCTATAGAAAACTATAAACAACAAATAAACAGTTCAAAGTGAAAAATACAAAGGACAAGGATAGGGTAGTTTATTATAAGCGTTTCTCAGGAAATGGCAGGAGAGACCTCTACCTAGCCCCCATGAATAACAGGGAGTAGCTATACATGAATTCAAGAGAAGCACTCTAAACAAAGTGTACTTTTGGGGGAAGAATTCCAGGACAGATGTTCAGACTTGGGACCAAAACAGATCTCAATATCAGGTTGCTCTGAACCTTGATGGTCCAGGGAGAATAAAAGGAAAACATCAACTCTGTGTGGAACAGAAAGAATTCATGAAATTATTCACCCCTCCCTTTAGGCATTCAGGTGTGTGCTTGTGTTATGGTTTGAAAGGGTCCCTCAAAAAAGCATGTGTTGGAAATACAATTTCCAATGTAGCAGTATTAAGAGGTAGAGCTTTAAAGAGTGGAATGGGATACAAAGGCACCTGTGAGAATGGGTTCTTCATTGAAGGATGACTTGTGCCCTCCGACTCTTTGTCTTCTACCTTCAACTGTGGGATGATGGAGCACAAAGGCCCTCCCTAGATGCCAGCCCAACTCCCAAAGTTTGGAGTTTCCCCAGTTTTGGAGAATGGTAGGAAATCAATCTGTGTTGTTGATACATTATCCAGGCTGTGTTATTCTATGATAGAGGAAATGGATTAAGATTGTGTGTGTGTGTGTGTGTGTGTGTGTGTGTGTGTGTGTCTACTTTTGCATGTGTGCTGTCAAACTAATTCCCATTTATACACTGCACACATACTGTATTGATTTACCCAGGACCCATAGTCAGTGCTTGAAATCAACATTCAGTAAAAGAAATATAGTGTGGTATATATCCTGATAGAAACAGATAGTTGAGAGAAGAAAAGAAAGCTTGTAATGACTTAAATATTGAAAGGCTATTGCAACCATAAATCAGCACTGTAACCAAAAAAAAAAAAAAGAAAGAAAGAAAGAAAGAAAGAAATCAATGAAAATGGAGGAGTTCTTGTGGATTAATAGTATGACTGCTGGATTAAAAATATCAAGGGGCTAAGTAATATCCATTCATAGCAAAAAAAAAATAGAAATAAGGACCCAATTTTGTGGACAAAATCTACTATCACACAGAGAAAAAAGATATGGAAAAATATAAGAAACAATTTAAGAAATATGTGAGTTTAATCTAGGCAAGTAAAGGAAGAACATAAAAAATGAGAAGAAATAAGAAAAGAAATAAAAGGAGGAGAATGTTCGAAATTGAAAAGAATCATTTTTAAAAACAAAAATACTTGAGTGCTGACCATGAGAAAAAACAAAAACATTTTCTATCTGGATGATATTTCAGGTCTCAGAAACAAAGTTATACCCCAAAAGCTCCCAGAACTCTAAAAAATGAAAGTAGGAAATAAATAAAGGAGTAAAATTTAACTTCTCAACAATAAGGCAAATGGGCTAATATCTAGAAACTTCTACAGGAGCCAAATTTAGGCTCTATGATCTTGATATTCACCAATTTAGGATTTATGGTTTTTGGATCTGAAAATTTAGTATCCAGAGACATTTGCTGCCGGATATGCTCAAAAGTTAGAAGGTAAAGTCTGTTAAAATGTAATAATTTATAATACATGTGATTATGTAATTGATATTTTTATTATTCTCTGTAGTGACTTCATTATCTAGCTAGCCTTCATCATGTCCCTGTATGAAAAACCAAGACAGATTGTCCCTGATATCAATGGGTCCATCACAATTTTTCAACTTCAGGATGGACGTGAAAGATATACATGCTTGGTAGAAACTGTACATTGAGTCTTGAATTTGGATCTTTTCCTGAGCTAATTATATGAAGTCTGAACCTCTCTCAAGGCTGGGCAGGAGTTATCCAGGGCCTGAGGGGAAACTCTCTGAGATAGAGCTCAAGATGGAACTCCTCCCACTTATACCAAAGCTACAGCCAAAAGGTCAGCATGACTAGCTTGTAATGTTCAGGTTAGGTGTAATACGTGAAATTTTTAAAAAAATATTTTTAAGTTGTTGATAGACCTTTATTTATTTATTTACATGTGGTGCTGAGAATTGAACCCAGTGCCTCCCACACGCCCCCAGTCGCAGCCCTACATACCCAGGCCTTATCCATGTTAGGTGAGCATCTTGCCACTGCACTCCACCCCAGCCCTTCAGTGCATTTGTGTGTGTGTGTGTGTGTATGTGTGTGTGTGTGGTGTTGGGGATGGAACCCCCTTTGATTCATTTTTGACTTAATATTTTCAACTTATGATGGTTTTATCAGACCTAGCCCCAGGAGCCCCATCATAAGTCTGGAACATCTCTCCTTGCTTTCTCATCTAGAAACTGACCAGCAGTACAGGGGTGAGGCTGGAATTAAAACTTAAATGCTCTCTTCCATCTCAGTGAGAAGTTTATACTTATATTTGGAACCATGACTAACCTTTCAAAGGTGACCTTCAAGGGTTTAAACAAAAGGAACAGTGAAAGACAACTGGCAGAAGAGTGTGCTGGCAGTAAGAGACTGGGAGGGAAAGGCATGCTGGAGCTTTGCTGCAGTCCTGTGTCAGTGTGGCTACCTTTGGGCCTTTTGGCACTTAATGATTCACTCTCTGAGATGGAGCTCAAGATGGAACTCCTTCACTTACACCAAAGCTACAGCCAAAAGGTCAGCATGACTTGGTAGGGAGGGGTGGACACAGCAGATGAAGGGCAAATGGAGGGTGGGTTAATGTCCCCACCAGACTGATAAAAAATTATTTCATGGACTTTCAGTTCAAAGGCCAGCCGTTCCCCTACTGAGTAACTGAACTACCATGTCTTGCCTTCTAACCATTATTACTGCTTTTGATTGTGCATTAAATTATTTTTTAGGCTAGAACTCAGATCATGTAGGACTTTAATTGTTGAACAAATGAACCATTAATAGCAGTTACAGCATTTGGGGATCCTGATATAACATTGAGGTCATAAACCTACTGTTGATATGAACCATAAAGCAGCTCTGCACTGTTATGCCCAGAATAACTGGTTCTGTTCACCAGTTACTTGGTCAATTAATGATTTGATAACTTTAACTTTGTTTGGGCTGAATTTTATCCTTCAAACATTTGTTTAAGCTCCAAGGTCACTCAACCAAAATTTTTAACCCATAGTTTATTAGCTCTAGTAGAGATTATAAATAAATATATTCTGTGGATTAATTAATTAAGCTCCATAGAGTCTTCTCAACTTATTTTAAAATCCCTACTTCTTCATGGGGAGGTCAATTTCATGATCATAAGTAATAGGCTTAAAACCTCAGTCACTCATACAAGTCTGTATCTAAGGAACAAATGATTTTGCCTTTGCAGAGTCAGGATACTGTACCCGTTAAACAGCACTGGGTAGGCAAAGACTCTAATACTTTTAATGCTAGATGTTTTTGGCAAGCAGGCAGGGTTTTTGTTTACTGAGTTCCTTTTACTTTTAAAATATTTCCCTGAGTGCAGACCTGTGTTGGGTTAATAATATAATTAATTAAAAAATCTGGTAATTCAAGTTAAACTTGTACAAATTCTGAATGCAAGGGCCATGTCTTCTCATTGTGCTGCTATTGCCTAGTGTGCTGGGCAATTACTGAGTATTCAGTAAGCACCTGCAATTGCTTCATTCTGATTAACTGACAAAGCTTATTCTGATTTTCAGTTTTTAAGGGAAGCAGAGAAAATAAAAGGCAAATGGAAGAAGTTGTATTCTCACACACCCAGAAATATATTTCTTTCTATTGGGAGCTCTCAGGAAAGTGTTCTTCCCATGGCAGGCCTGAGATGCTGTATTTACAGAGGCCTGTTTGCAAAGTCTTGTCTAGGAACTTGGATTTCAGGAGGTTTACATCATTCCCTAAATGTCAGCACTGGCTCCATGATCCTACACTGTTTGAGCAAACAATACAGTTTGTGCTGATCACCTACCTGCATTCCTCCTGGGAATCTGTAATTTTGCTATATACTAAGCCAAGGCTACATATGTGATTGGGTTCCCCAATGAAAATCTGGGGCTCTGGTCGACAGCACTTCACATCATGAAACCATGTTGCCATGGTTTGTTGCTGGAGGAATTAGTCCTGTCTCCTGTGTGATTCCAATGAGAGGACTCTGGGATGCTTATACCTAGTTTCCCAGGACTCTACCTCAGGCACCTTCTCTTTGCTGCTTTTGCATGGTATGACTATATAATGGGTCCTATGAGTTCTAGAAAAATCACTATACCTAGAGTAGTTTTGGGAACACTCAACATAGGAGCAAACAAGGATATAAATATATATGTGATATTTATATCAATACATTTAAAAATTCAGTTTAAGCCAGGACAAGCATTGGTACATGCCTGCAATCCCAGCTACTAAAGAGGCTGAGGCAGGAGGATTTCAAGTTTAAGACTAGCCTCAGTAATTAGCAGGGATCTCAAAATTTAAAAAAGGCTCATGCTGTAGATAGAGTGCCTCTGGGTTCAGTCCATACAAAAAAGAAATCAGTTTATAAGTGTTTTAACAGAAGCACTTATCTATCTATCTCCCCATACATATGTGCATATATGTGTGTGTACATATATATAAACATATATGCATATATACACACATATACATAATTACCCACATTGTTATCTTCTATTTCAAATGCTCAGATCTAAAAGTGGTGGTAAGAAATGCATTTTCCAGCCTCTCTGCTGTCTGTTATCCAGTTAGAAAACTGACTCTTAGAGAAAAATATAAAACATACCCTTCTGATGTAGAAATTCCTCTCCAATATCATACTGAGAGAGAGGAAAATCTAAAAATCCACCATTTTGTTCTCTCTAGTTTGAAAGAAAGTAAAGGATGCACATGATGATGAAAAGAGGAGAAATAAAACAAGCCCTGGCTAACGAGAGTCATGACAGTGGGAGTCTAGGCATGGAGGTTCCATACTATTCACTGCCTTGACATCTGGTAAAACCTGGAGGCCATGAATGGCTCCACAGCAAGTTCTTCTCCCTGCTCTGCTTCTGCAGGCAAGGTCCCCTCCCTGTCAACTCTCCTAATCCAGGGGACCAGACAGAATTTCTATTTATTCCTGAGTAGTGGTTTCCAGTTCCCTGATAGCCTGTGGAATTCTTTCCACAAACCAATCACTTACTCCTATGGGAACCTGGGGCACCACACCCCTTGATTCTACAAAGCCTGCAGTCTCTAGTTGGTCATTTTTTAAGAGCATCCCACAAGCGGCCCTTTGTGGTATGTACTGTCTCCTCCACTGGGATGTGAATATCTGTGATTAATAAACTGCTGTTGACTTCATGTGTCCAATGTAGTATGCAGGGTGTTCAGCTAGCCTCATAAGCGTAGTGTGGGAATATCCTTCTCATCAGTGGGGCAAAGAAGAAAATAATCAAAACAAGGGACAGAGGGAGGTGCAGTAGCAGAACCACAGAATCCAGTATGTGGATGACTCCAGCAGTGTCTATTCTCACTTGCCCCTCCTCTGGCTTTCCTGGAATGAAGAAAGCAGAGAGGAGCAAATACCCCAGGTCAAGTGTTCTGATTGGACACAAGAACTTTAAGCACCCCTCTACTGTGGAAATAATCCAAAACCAGAGGACACCTGCTACCATTTTCACAGAAAACATAAAGGCCTCTAGAACTAATATTCTCATGAGAAATATTTTTTAAAAATTAGAAAAAAAATTAAGAGATGAAATATGCAAAACAGAATTGCTCAGGGCACCAGTGCCTCTGCTTCCCCTCCAGACCTCAGCCTGTAATAGAAGAGAAGCCAGGACACTAACTGGCTACATTCAAACCACTCAGCAGAATCCTAGGAGGACCTTTGGCCAGCTTGCATTGTGACAACTGTAAGATCCAGATATATTGTCTCGTAAAATTTAATGTAATGAAAATAAATCATTTAGAAACTAAACATGATCACATCCTCACTGAGTTAATGGGGTAGAGGGATTATTCTTGGAGTAGTTTTTTATACTGTTGCATCCCTCTTCCTCTGACAAAAGGGAAAGAAAGAATACATGGAGCCAAAGAGAAGGAAACAAGCTGAAGTATAAGGAAGGAAAGGCTTTCACTGCAACTTGTCTGCTGCCGTCTATCCAAGAGGAGGTAGATGTTGGCCCACCATGTTTTCCATGGCTCTGACCCACAGTGCACAAACTCAAAAAGAGGACCAAAATGAATTTAGCTCATAAAAGTAAAAACCTTCTATTGAAGGTTTTACTTCAATATATATATATAACTGCTTTATAGGCAGTTTGAACTCAGATGAGCATTTCTTGAAACTGTACTAAGATGGACATTTATGGTTCAGATAAGAGGTACCCCCAAAAGCTCTCATGCTAGATGATACAGGAATGTTCAGGGGTGAAATGGTTGGACTTTGTGGAAGTTGTAACCTAAGCAGTACGTTAATCCACTGGTATGATTTAACTGGGTGGTAACTGAGCAGGTGGGGTGTGGCTAGATGAAGTGGGTCACTGGGGACATGACTTTAGGGTTTTATATTTTGTCCCTGGACGAGGATCTCTCTCTTCTTCCTGGCTGGCATGAACTGTGAGCAGCTTTCCTCCACCATGGCCTTTTACCATAATTTTCTGCCTCACCTAGAGCCGAGAGCTATGGAGTCAGCCAGCCAAGGACTGAAACTCTGATACTGTGAGCCAACATAAACTTTTCTTCCTTTAAGTTATTCGAGTCAGGTCTTTTGGTCACAGCAATACAAAGCTAACTAAAACTAAGTGGTAGGCGAAGGGTGAAACTTAAAGGTAAAGCACATGCTTAGCATGCATGAGGCCCTGGGTCTAGCCTGGTACCAGAACAACCCAACAAACAAAAGACACATAAAATGAACATGGTGGGTTCTAATGAAATCATATTTACTGTCTATGCTTGATAATACATTTTCCAAATTATTGATACACATTTAAGATGATCCATCACTGTTTCCCAAAAGATATTTGTACTTAAAATGACATAGCACTGCTTCCCACAAGATATTAACATTTAGAAAATAAATGAAATGATAAAATATGTCTTATGGTAACAATTAAATTAATATTGAAAAATACATGGAAAGCAGCAAAAGATTTTCTATTATGAGCTCATTTAGAGAACAAAAGTGGAGCTAACAGCCTCCTCTATGTTTTGGCCTCTGGCTGTGGCTATAATCACCGCTGTTGTCATTTTGTTATTGAAGGTAGAGGTGTATATAGTTACTTGTGGATTTAACTACTTAATTATTCATGCCTGAGTTTAAAAGCCTCTTTCTCATCATTGTTTCCAGGTAAATATGCATTTTCCATCCCAAGTTTTCCTGACTGCCTTGAAATAATTACTTTTCCTAACCTCCTTACACTTAATATTGGTTGACAAATAGCTAAATGCAATGCACACTGCATAGGCAGTAATAGCTATGACGATCTCAATTCCCCTCACTTTATCTTACCAGTTGGCTATTTCCGTAGGGGATTATTGATAGCCCTTCCTCATCCAGGGTTGCATACAAAGGAGGAGTTGGGATACAACAAATATCACTTGGCTGTTAAGAAAAATGAAAGTGCATTTTATTCAGAAATAGTCTCCTAAGTTCAAATATGCAATTAATCACATATTATGCACAACATATGTACATTCATACAGATTTTTGGAGATCACCATAGCTGTGTGACGGCCTATGCACTGATCATTGCATTTACCATTTGTCAGCCAATACTGAGAGCTCTCTAAATGTCAGGGACATAAGGAACCCTGTTCTCTGTACAAGATACTGTTAACTGTGGAGATCAAATCCATCCTGCTATCTTCCTTAACAGTATTCTGATTTTGTTTCAGGAAGTTATGTGTCCAACTAAAACAAAAAAAAACAATATTTCACATACTCCTCTGTAGCTAAAGATCATGTAGTTATAAACAATAACAGGTAACTGGAATTCTACTGAGTGGTATTTCCAGGAAAGAAGTTGCTATGGTTTAGGTATGAGGTGGATCCCCAAGGTTCCTGTGTTAACTCAGGACTCTCTGAGAGCTGTAACCTAATCAGTCCATCCTAGTTCAAATGGACTAACTAGATAGTAACTATAAACAGGTAGGGCATGGCTGGAGGAGGTGGGTCACTGGGATTGTGTCCTAGAAAAGTTGTTGTTTTTGTGGCTCCTTCCCTTTCCTCTGATTTGTTGCTACCACCAACAGAACAGAAGTCTTTCACCATGCCCTTCTGCCATGATGCTCCACCTCACCTTGGGCCCAAAGCAATAAAGTTGGTCCATCATGGACTGAAATTGTGAATCAAAATAAACATTTCCTCTTCTAAGCTCTTCTTGTCAGGTACTTTGATCACAGTACTAAAAAAAAAAAAGCTAATATATGAGGTCAGAGGGATGGAATCCATTGGTATAATTTCCAGAAACTGCCAAGAACATGCATATGTCTGGAGTGGCCCACCTAACTTGTAAGCAAAATGATGAAGGTTGCATGCAAAAGACAAAATAGGAAGATGGAAAGAAGCTGGTTCATGTTAAGAAATATGACAATCTACCTTCAGCTTATTCTTGACATAGAAAAGCAATTCCCTATTTGTATGATTCACGATTTCTTGGGTTTTCTGTCCCATGCAGTCAATATCAATGTAAGAGATATGATCATATTTTTATGCATATTATATGACTATATAGTCAATATAGATAGTTCTACCTTTAGATAGTTGCTTATTTATTATGAAATTAGATACAAATGAGGTTGACTATATTTCCCAATTGAATGTGTTACTGAAAGGAACATTTAATCACACCCTCTGAATAATAGAAAATGCATTTGGGTCTGCTCATGATGAATAGGACTGTAGACCATGTGTTATGTATCCAGAGATTGATTAAGCATTTTTTATTAAATATACAATGGCTCTAATAAAACAAGGGTTAAATATTCTAGTCCCTCGTTGTAAGCACTCCATTGAAAAATTAAATGTATTGGATATTTAACAAAATCAGAAAATTTATTTAGACTCCCAGAAATTGTTATGCTTTCTGTTTCCAGTAAAGTTATGTATTACTTTCATGATAAGAGGAAAAAACCTAGACTTACTCTTTGAAAAGAATAAATACTATTGCAAAACTAGTACAAGAAAATTGGACCAAGACAGCAAAATGCACATACTACTTTCTCCTTTCTTTGCAAATCACTCTTAAGTGTCAAAAGAGATATCTTTTTAAAGGAGTATATCTAAAGACCACTCAACATTTCCATTAGTAGAACAGAAATTGTTGGAAATTCCTGGAAGATAAAATGCAGGCAAGAATGATTTGATCAAGGCAGAAGATAACTCAGCCTGAAAAAAAAGGCACAAGAGGAAAATGAGTAGAAAGTAAATGCTTATTCAGAGAAAGCTCATATCTAATAGGAAATAAAAATAAGAGAGAGGCACCTCCAACTTAGAAAACGACCAAAGGGACTGAAAAAACGGTTTTCCTTCTTGGAACACTGATGGTGAATTCTTAGTGACACAATGACTGCCTTCATTGTTGGTGGAGGCTGTCCTGGTAAGGGTGTGGTAGTGGAGAACAAAAGGAAGACTGAATTACACTTCACTGGGATTTCTAAAAGGATAAGGACAGGAATATATAAAGGGAAGTTGGTTTATTTATTCCTGAAAAGGAAATAAATGGCAGTTCTTGGGGACTTTTGTTACTTTGGCATTGATGCCATATTATGTCTTAAAGTGAAGTGTGATAACAGATAGATCTCACTACTCACATGGACCCTGAATTCTACTCACAGGAGCGTTCATGGAGAAAAGGGGTCTACACAACTGCATAGAAAGCATGCAGTCTTATCTACACAAACGTAGCAAACAATCTAGTCCTCCATTAAGAAAGACATTTGCGCTGGGCAAGGTGGCTCATACCTGTAACCCCAGTGGCTCAGAGGCTGACACAGGAGGATTGCAAGTTCAAAGCCAGCCTCAGCAATTTAGCAAGGCCCTAAGCAACTCAGTGAAACCCTATTTCTAAATAAAATACAAAAAATAGGGTCAGGGATGTGGCTCAGTGGTTAAATGCACCTGAGTTCAATCCCCAGTTCCCACCCGCCCCCTCAAAAAGAAAGACATCAGCACCCATAGATCAAAATCAATTAAACAATGGCAATAAGAAATACATGCTGCTAAAGATAAATGCATCACTCTGAAGGAAACAGATACTTCAAGGAAAGGGAGAGAACTTTAGAATTAAAGGTTTAGTTATTAATACCTTCAGAGTGCTAGGAGACTATTGTAGCCAAGAAAGAGAAACAGATTGCTGTAATAAAAGGGGAATCAGGAGAAAGAAGGAACTTCAGTAAATTGGAAATATGACTGTTGCATTTTTTTAAAAATTAATGAAAATCACAAGTTAATATAACCATAGCCAAATTACTAACATAATAAATGAAGTTGAAGAGATATCCAAGAATGAAGAACAAACCTGGGAAAATTTAGGAAATAAAAGAGAACAATTAAGACACACAAAATTCCACTCAATCGATGCAAAATAAGGATATCAGAAGGAGATCACAGAGAAAGTAAAATGAGTAAATACTTGTTTTAAATGTTTTAGACAAAAATATATAGAACCTAAGGGCTGGGGTTATAGCTCAGTTGGTAGAATATTTGCCTTGCATGTGTAAGGCACTGGGTTTGATCCTCAGCACCACATAAAAACAAATAAATAAAAAAGATATTGTGTCTGTCTACAACAAAAACAATTTTTTTTAAAAAAGTATATAGAATCTAAAGAAGGAATCAGTTCTCAAATTGAAAGGGCACATTCCAGTACTGATTAGGATGATTTTTTTAAAGGTAAAACTGGTAATATTTCAAGATTCTAATAGTAAAAATAAAATTCAAAAAGTTTCCACTCCATTAAAAGACTGAGACATTGTTCTTTGCCATAGTGATCATGCATGAGAGAAGATTATAGAAAGTATCTTTGAAATTCTGAAGGAAAGTGATTTTGAGAATGGAATTCTATGAGTAAAAAAATTAATAACTAGAGTAATCTATATATCTATTTTTCAAATTATTAAATTTATATGCTCACTGGGTCAAATTTATATATGTAAAATTAATGCAAAGTCTTATCATTCTTCACTAAGAAAGTGAAATGGGAAAATTTAGTTATATTCAATTAATGTAGGTAAATGATTCCATAGTAAGGCCATAAAGAGTAGGAAGGGGAGAGGAAGAGAAAGGAGAGGAGGAGGGCAGAGGAAGGAGATCTGGACAGGGACACAGGAAAGAGGAAGGAAGGTGGAATTGTCATTTATGCTTCAATTTCAAATAGAAAACTGAAAAGGCTGAGGTCAACACTTAGAAACATCCAACTTTTTTTTTACTTGCAGAAACACATGCTGAAATTTTTAGGGGGAAAAAAAAGCAAATCTGCAAAGATGTTATTTAGACCTTATATATTAGAATTACACAACTTTTTTCCCACAAAGACTAGGTTTATATGGTTTTTCACAGTTTTAACAAGAAAAGATCTGAATTGTTTTAAGCAGTCTAGACAATGTCAGGCATTTACTGATTCTCATTTCTCTGATTCCCCCATTTTCAAGTACAGCACAAGAATTCTCTACTCCCTGGAATGGATAATATATGGTCTTTCCTCTGTCTTCAATGCCTGCCCCTCCCCCTTGCTGCCCTCCATCTTAGTTACCATTCTCAATTCATTCTAGACCTGGGGCTTCAATAACAAGAGAGAAAGGAAAGCAAACCCAAGAGCGAGCCCTGGGGCCATCCTCCCCTCCACAGATACATCAACTAGACCCTTTCTGTCCTTCCCAGAGTTGATGCTGAACAGTAGGTGGCCCATATGTATATCAGAGAAGGAAGACTCATTTCTTTTGACACTCTGGACCCAATGAGCAATTTCCCTTTTTATCTTTCTCTTCATGGAGGGTTAAAGTAAATGAAGAGGGAGGTACAAAATAAAGGAACTCTGTTACTAGAAGTCCAGAGAAAGTAAATGAATAAATACTTGTTCTAAAAGTTTTAGACAAAAGTATATAGAACCTAGGGGCTGGGGTTTATAGCTCAGTCTTAGGAAACCTAAAAAGGGTAGTTACACATTTCCTAAGCAACTGGAGGATTTAGGAGAAATCTGCAGACCTTTTTCTATTTCATAGTTTGCTAGAGTAGAGCCAAAACTTTAGTCTGAAGTAGCTGGAAACAGATGTGAGAAAGAAAACATGTAAACAAAGTGTATAGGACCCTCACAACTATGATCCTGAAAGTAAAATGACCCAGGGAATTTTAAACATTCAGACAAACCTTTTTTTTTTCTTTTATAGGCATCTTGGCCAGACACCTGTATTTCAAGTCTTGGCCTCAAGTTGTAGAATCCATTTTTACTCAATTACAGACATAGAAAAATCCCACCATCCAGACAGACATGGGTTTCAACTAAGTTGAACGTTCGGATATCACAGAACCTAGAATGCACTTACTTCAAGGTGTATCTGCTATCACAATAGACAGAAGATTCTAGAACTGTGCTGTTAAATACATAAGCTACAAGCCACAGGTGACTGTTTAGATTTAAATCAGTTAAGATTAGAAAAACATAAAAATTCAGTTCCTTCTTTACTCTAGCCACATTTCAGTTGCCAGTTGCCACACAGGACTGGATAGAGAGATTATTTCTATCAATATAGAAAGTCTAAAGGGTAGTATTATTCTAAGACACAATTACCACAAATGGAAAGGTCAACTATGCAGATGTGAGCTTCCCTGGCAACTATCCTTGATGATTAATATATGTAAGTGAGAAGATGACTTACAGACAACCTAAAGTCATTCAAATTGGTGACTAAGTCTTCAAGCATGATTTCCACCAAAGATCCTTGAAGTTTTAATTCATGTCATTATTGATATTAAAATGAAACAGATGAGAAACCTAAGTCAGAATGATTAACTAAACTGCCCTAGGCAACTTTTCTGTCACTGCAGAAGAATATCAAATTTCCTTTTTTCTATATACTAATTACCTCAAATGTTCCAAGAATCTTATCTGCATAGAACCTAATATAGGACCTTATACAGAGCATGTATTAATAAAGTATTTGTTAAATCAATGAAGCAATTACTGTGCCGCAGTCTGGTTGGGCACAAAATAACCCAGCTGCCACACAGCCTTGTAGGTTCAAAACAGGAACTCCTTTTTTCTCCGCACTCCCTCAAAAGCCACGCATGGCCTTCTCCTGGGCCACACCACACACCAACCGGAAATCCCTCCTCAGGAAATCCCCCCTCCTGCACTTCCCCAACCAATGGGAACTCCAAAGTAGTAGGCCTAGGTGGACAGCAGGGATCTAATATACAATTGAATACACAGCTTAACATAATCATTATCATCTCAATGGCTTGCTGGGTCACCTCTCAACCACTGTTCTGGCAAAAATGCCATTCATCATTCCGACTATGGCTCTCAGCATTACTGCAATATAACACTGCAGTGGTGCAATGAATGAATTAAATAATTGTAAGACAAAATTAGCCGGAGGAGAAAAATGACAGACTAGGAAGCAAAATCATAGCCTTGAAACTTCTAAGGGTAAGTTGGAATTTCAGTCATTTCTCATAAAACATGGGATGCTTCCTTTTTATGATGTACTGAATCAATCTCTTGCCCACTTAACTAGTGCTGTTATCTTTCACTTTAATTTTTTTTTAGTTGTAGATGGATACAATACCCTTATTTTATTTATTTATATTTTTTATGTGGTACTGAGGATTGAACCCAGTGCCTCACATGTGCTAGGCAAGTGCTCTACCACTGAGCCCCAACCCCAGCCCCATCTTTCACTTTTTAGCCATGTTAATTTTTCTGAACATACAGTCTACTCTACCGTCTTCCCCCCACTTCCGTGTAAAATAACCCACTCACTTTCTCACAAAGTCTGACCACAGAATTCTCATTCAGTGCTTAGTAAGTAAGTAAGGCACTGTGTATCCATACATAAATAGCCACTTCACTACCAAAGAAGTTACTTTCAAACTTCAACACAGAAGAAAATAAATTTGGTTTGGAGGGAGAATGAAGTTATGGGAAATGAGGAATGATCATTCAAGTTCAAATTTATAAAATGCTGCATTATGGTGTCTGTGTTAGTTTTCTCTGATAACTGATATGGAACCAGCCTTTTCTGATATTTTTTCTATTCTTACCATCCCTTCTTGCCGCCCATCCCCCCTCAAAATCTAAGTAACACTTTTTAAGCCATATTCATTACTTACAGGAGATTCACTAACTCCAAAGATGTCTCTGACATCCCTGACAGACTGCTTATTCTTTTTTCTCAGGGTTTGAGTATAGGTATTATATCTCTTTTTCACTGCAGCCGCTTGGGTTCGAGTCAATGTAGAGAGCAGGGCTTTCCCATCTTCCTCTTCATTGCCTGAGATCAAAGTTGATAAACCCACATCTTGCAGCCACTCAGCTTCAAGTTCTCCTTCTGTAACACAACATGACCAAGAGGAGATTAGGACCTTTTCCATATGTGTGTTAACTATAGGACTGTGGACATAAGACAATAAGAAATAAGTAAGTAATATGAGATGTCTCATTTTTTACAGTAATTATGGGAAAGGATTATAAGAATAAATGAAAAGTCTTAATTTTAAAATGCAATAGAAAGTCCAATTATAAAATATTGTCTAGTAGAGCAAAGTTGACTGGCCAATTTAGAAAGATAATTTTCCTTGCCAGAGGGTTAAACATAAGCCATAGGTTAACTGCCAATTTCAAAAATATGATAAAATATAACTATTAAGACTAAAACAATAACAGAAAAAGTATGGCTTAGTGGAGCACAAAGGGTTTGTAAATCACTCAAATCCAAGGACAAATCCTAGTACTGCCATTGATTTTAGTAATTTGCTGAAATACCTCCAGCAGTGTCCCCTCAGTAAAATGGGTGTAGTGATTGATGTTGCCTTGGAATTCATTTTCATGGGCTTAACTTCTTCATGCCACAAGCAGGGCTCAGTCACCTTGGACAGTTTCCAGTTTTCCACCTCTTCCCAATTCCTCCAGATACCTGCCTTGTACAACTTTTTCCTGGTTACCACCTGCCTATTGGATAATAAGATGCAACCTACTTGACTGGCCCTGCTGGCCTTACCCCGCTCATGGCCTTTCAGTGACAACCTTTCAGTCACAGCCTCAATCCATGTTGCTCTGTGCTTGCTTTTCTCAGTCTACCAATAGAACTCCCCCTGGAACATTCTACTTGGGTGACACCCTGGACTCCAATAAGGGCTTCAGCCCCCTGGTACCATGCTCCTTCTTTCTTGCTCCTCCTTCACTGGCTGAATGTATGGGTCCTGGATGACTTCCCCTCTTTCCCTCTCCCTTTTGTCCCTGTCAGGCGTAGCCCTCTCCTCTCTAGGACCTGTAGTAATACACTGCTTCTGTTACTTTATGTGTCTTGAGTTGCCTCTTCTGATCTCATCTGACCAACACATGCAAACCTAATTTCCTTCCCAGGCAGGGGTCTCCTGAAATGGCTATCTTGGTAGGAATAAACTGGACGTAGGTCAGACAAGAGCCACAAGGGCACCTGCCATATAAACAAGTTTCCTTTAAAAAGGTCAACTAGTCATAGTGTGGTAGAGAATCATCTCATGAATAAGTACCTTGTAAACATTTATAATCATGTGCCTTGGAGTTTCATCAGGGCAGGGCTTGAGTTAATAGCCACCATTTTGTGAGGGACCACAATACAAATAACAAGAGTATCAACAATGGGGACAATAATAGCAAATTAGGTAGACTTGATGATTTTTTTTTAAAGCAATGCATTTATAAAGATGGCAAAGAATCTGGAATAAGATACTCAATAAGTATTTATTTTCCTGTTTCTCTCCTTATTCTGAGCATGGGGCAATAATTCTACCCTTTTTCAGAAGGTGATTTAAAAACATAAGATTCATCCATGACCCCTCCCCCCGCACC